GGTATCTGTGGTTTCGAGGGCAGGTAATGTAATACACTGGTGTTCCCCCCCCCCCGCACCCACCCCCTTCACTGCCACCACCTAAATAAAAAGGAAAAGGGCGCAAGAAAGAGAGAAAGAAACAGTGGCTAACGTGGCGCATAGACCGAGACATTCTCGTCCATGACGACACAGCTCAAGGGCTCCGCGAGCCGGCTGGGACGTATGGCGGCGTCGGGGAATAAGGTGGCGGTGTTCAAACTGTCGGGGATCATTATCGGTGTGGTGTTGGTATTGTATTATATGTGGAGGCTGTTTTTCTAGGCGGGCGTTTGAACTGTCGTTTGGCTTTTTTCTGGCTTCACACGAGGTAGCGTAGCGAAGGGGTGATAGGTGGGGGTTGATGTGTTAACAAACGTCGAGGGGCTGGATCGGCCAGTTGCGCAGCGCAGCGCGGTGCGCGAAGATGTATTTGGACATGTATTATGATTTGGTCCGGTTCCGGACCTGGGCATAGCAGGGCGTTGGGCGTGAGTTGTCATCGTCTGGATTCGCTCGATGGCATTGAATAATACGATATCTACATTTCATGGTACGCCATAAATTAGGTATTCTAGCTCATGAAGCCAGTCTTCCGCAACGCAATTCAAGCCGGCCTCCCGTTTTCCTTCGTCCTCGCTATGCGCTTCATGTACATGAGGGCCAAAACAATCGGGCAAGAAACCCTTTTGTTCGAATACCACTACCTCACCCCTATCACGAGCACCATGGGGTCTCACTTCCACACATTCGAAAACAGATCCTCGCCTCCTCCAAACCCGGCCGCCGGTTTATTGTTTGTAGTTGACGTTGTGCTGCTAGTCCACCCACCGAATTCTTCGTCTGCCGCCACCTTGGGCGCAAACCCTCCCGATGAACCAGGAACGATAGGCTGGCTAGCCAGCGACGCCCATCCCATGTCGCTTGATGCCGCAGCTACAGACGGCTTTGCCGGCTCTGGAGAAGCCTTGGGTGCTTCAACTGAAGCCCACGCATTGCCGCCCCAAACGTCCGAACCCCCCCAGCCGCCTCCGTCCAGAGAGCCGAGGGGGTTTGAAGTCGTAGTAGATGTCGTGGCGGGAGGGCTAGGCTTCGGCGGTGCGGCGGACAGGTTGAAGACTGAGGAAGCGGTTGTCGTCGTAGTCGGGGCGAGCGCAGGCTGGGCGACTGGTGCGGGCGGGGAAGATGCCGAGAAGTCAAATAAGTCACCTAGTGCAGAGGAAGCCGGCGCTGGTGAGGGTTTAGGCGCTGCCGCAGGCGAAGCAACGGAACCCCAGCCCGAAGTGCTAGCAGCTGACTGTTTCGGCTGGTGCGAAGCGGCCGCCGGCTTGGAGTCGAAAAAACTGCCGCCACTGAGCGCCGAGAAGGCGGAGCCACTCGATTGAGGAGCAGGGCGGGGGGATCCGAAGGACCCGAGGCCGGAGAAGGCATCGTTTTGGGCTGGTTTGGGAGACGGCGCGCTAGTAAAGCTTAGACTGCTAAAGGCGTCATGGAGCCCGCCCGCTGGGTTCTGCACCTGGCTCATGCCGGTAGGGGAGGATATTCCGCTCAACGAGCCCGACGAAGCATGGGAGACATGTTGCGCAGGTTGCTGGGGTTGGGGCCGCGGGGCGGTCGCGTAAAGGGAGAGGATAGATTGTTTAAGATCCGGACGTGAGTGGCCGCTGCTAGGTGTGCCGGTGGTGCTGGCTGGCCGCGGCGGCGCGGCTGCCTGCCCACCCAAGAAATCGAGCCCGAGCAGTGAGTCCTTTGTACTAGTCGCCTTGGGCGGGGCGGGCCCGGATTTTGGAGGCACTTGCATGGCCGTCGGCCCAGTACTACTGGCCCTCAGCGGCGGTGGTACAGGGGCCGAAATCTGTTCCCCTCCGATAAGATCGGCTTGAGGGGCTGCTGACCGGCCGACGGATGCTTTGCGGACGGATTCCCGGCGTTCCACGTTTTGCTTCTCCTTAACAACGCTCAGTGGTACGTCGTCATCGCCATCTGCGTCGAGTGTCGCGGGGTCTGGGATCGGTCCTTCCATCGCCCATCTCTTCAGCTCGTACTTGGTGCGGATAAAGTTCTCGATCTTGGCTTCGGAGGGGACATGGTTGGCCGCCAGCTTCGCCTCCCAGTACTTGTTTGCGCGCGCATTTCCCCAGTTAAGGATGCTCTGTAGTTGCTCGTCGGTCCATGCGTCTAGGTCGACCGACTTGACTCGGCTGATGTGAGTGCCCATTCCGCGGTGAATGCCCGAGCAACGGATGCACACGAACACGCCTAGGTTCCAACTCGCCCATCTCGGGTCTAGTACGGAGATTGTCAGTGTGCTTCTCGGGGTGCCGTATGAGAAACCTACGTTTATTACGCTTGCAGTCGGCGCAAACTTTGTTAGGCTCTAGTTTCAGGAGGTTCTTGATCGTCGCCTGGTTTTGCGCTGCCCGCTCCGCAGCGGGATTCGGGGGCCGTCGAGACATGAGGAATTTGTGATTGACTGGTGGTGGTGTTGTGGGTTGCTATATGGATGGGACGGAAGGCTGGCGGTACTCGGGACTCGATTTCGAGTTCAGGACAATAGAAGTTAACGGAGGTTGGGTTCACAGATAAAGATGCGGAACAGCGCAACTCGAAACGGGGTGGCGGTGGGGAATTGTCTAACCGAGCCAGAGCCCCAGTTAAATAGATGTGCTTGGTGCATAACTCGAATAGTAGTATATGTAAGTGCAGCCCGCTCCAATGAAGCAGAAACAGATGGCTTTTAGTCTGAGGAATCAGGCGGCAGGAGGTAATCAACTTTTGGGCACTCCATTTTCGTACTTGGGAAGAGTTCTCAATATACGTGCTTGAACTGAGGCAACGGAGGTCTCGAATGTGTGATGTAACATATTGTAAATGTGTGAGAAGTATGAAGTACTTTGTGGATACTGTTATTCCAGTCACGATACTGAGCGTCAAATACCATCAAATGGCGGGGCATTAAATTGCTGCTGTTGACTCGAATCGAAACCTTGGGCAAGAATTCTAGCGGGTATGCTCAACTCCGCCACTCTCTGTGACCGCATTAAGGACATTGATTCCAAACCTCCAATTCCTCAATCCACCCCCCGCCTCACTAGCCGCAATACCCATGATTTGTCACTTCTCGTTCCGCTCTATTTGATGCATTGCCTCAACTAGATTCCATCTTAACCAGAACATATAAACCCCAACTTCTCCGCACCCTCCCTCACCCACAGCTCACCCTCCATGCGCTCGCGATTCTTCCGTATCCTGCTCACCTTCTCCAACCCAATTCGACCCCCTATCTTCCGGGCTACTACTCCCCGGCTTAGAAACACCATTCCTCTAAAATCCATGACGATTCCCTTTTTCAGCGCTCTATTCGGAACCTCGGCCCCATCCTCCAAAAACACCATGACATCATACCCAGACCAGCGAACTCCGGAGGAGTGGCGCGCCGTCTTGAGTCCAGGTAAGCAAATAACTTTTACCCAGCACCCCATTTCACACAACACCCCCACAACAACACCAACAGCACCCAACCCCAGCAACCACCTAAACCCCCATTAACAAAAAAAAACAGAACAATTCCGCATCCTCCGCGAAAAAGGCACCGAGCGCCCCTCCACCGGCATCTACGACCAGCACGCGCCCAGCAGCGGAACCTACGGGTGCGCGGGGTGTGGGGCTGCGCTGTACGAGGCGCGGCACAAGTTCGCGTCTGGGTGCGGGTGGCCGGCCTACTTCGACAGCGTGCCGGGCGCGGTGGTGCGACACGAGGACCGCTCGCTGGGCATGGTGCGCACCGAGATCGTGTGCGCCAACTGCGGGGGCCACCTCGGGCATGTCTTCAAGGGCGAGGGGTATGACACGCCGACGGACGAGCGGCATTGTGTGAATAGTGTGTCGTTGACGTTTAGGGAGGAGGGGGAGGAGGGTGGTGGTGCTGGTAAGGAGGCGGGGGCGGAGGGGAAGGGGGAAAGTAAAGTGTAGGAGCTTGGGAGGGGGTGGGTGAGAAAGGATTGCACTTGTGGGTGCTGATGGGCGGGTTGAGAGTTGTTGGCGCTACTTTGCGGAGTAACAGGAAATGGAGGGGTCCAAGGGTACGTTGAAGATGCCAGGGCGCCATTACGATTCAACTCTGCTGGGTTTACACAACATAAACCTCGATGCCGGTTTTATCATGAGAAACGCAAGCATAGCTGATACCAAGCAACATGGTTTCTACCTCGATTCTCAGATGCGTCTCATATTTTGCGCCGTAGCAGCCACAACTTCTTCCCAGCGCCGTGTAAATTCGTCTTCAAATTTCGACAACACATCCGACAAATCCCTTGATGGTTCCGCTGCTGCCACTTCCTTCTTGGCTCTGTCCATGAATTCGTTCCATATCTTACTTGCTTCACACAGCCCTTGATGCTGAATCTGCGAGCACCGTATGAGCCAGTCATCTTTTGTTTCACCCTCGGTTGGTCGCTCGAAAAGTGTCGGACTTGAACTGAAGAGGAAGGAATCGCCAGTACCTTTCGATGACGGCTCTGGTTGAGAATACCAATGTCTGGTTTTCTCCTCAGTGACATTGAAGAGAAGGGGGCTTTCTTGGTTGCCGTTGAAACTGGTAGACGGGTTTGTGCCTAGAGCGTGATCCGTCGTTCGTAGTCGTCTGGGTCCTGGCCGGTGTTGGGCATTGACCGGAACACGGTTTAGAACACTCGACATCCTACCCGGACTTTGCCACATTTGTTCTGCCTGACTGGGTTTACCCTGATCTTCGGTCCTCGGGTCACCCAGACTGGGTGATCGGGCCTGGTACGGGGACAACTCGTCTGGAAAGCTCGAAGACAATCCTCGCCCCAAATACCTTCCCCTTGTTGCATGGAGAATATCCGCTTTGCTGAGAGTCTTGTCAAAGTGCTTAGAGACTGTGTACATCCCATGGCCGTGGCGCTCGAGGGGTGTGGTAGTCCGTCTTCCCCTCGGCCCGCTGGCAAAAGCAGGCCCAACCTTGCTGAGTTTGTAGATGCCCTCGCCCAGAATTCCAGGTACACCGAGTGTTGTCGCAGGCCGGGATGGTACAGACGCCGGTGACCAAGGGCGCGGGCCCGTTTGGAGGTCTGCGGGCGGCCCTGATGGCTGGCTAGGAGGTCGTTGAAGGTACCCATAGAGATGTCTTTCCGGATACGATGGATATTGGGTTTGTGAGGTTGTCCTGGTAGTCAAACGAGGACCTGTGCTCTCAAACGTTCCTAGGTGGCCGGATTGTCCGTATATTGGTCCCAGGGTCTGGCCCAGCGGTGCCCATGATCCGAAGATAGCTGGCCCAGACATTAACCCATGCCCTTGGCTACCTTCCTCTTTTTCCATGCGGATACCTAGATTGTTAAGTTCTTGTAGGATCGTCTCAAAATCCGCGGCGTTTTGTACAATGATACCAAGCGTTGCGGACACCTAACATGCCGGATGAGCTGGTGGTGGTCCCTCTAAGGTTTCAATAGATAACCGTACTCACATTCTCTTTGTTTTTTGGGTACCGGAAGAGAAGGGAGTGTTTTGAGAAACAACAAGCGATGGAATAGTGAACAGCTGCATCCCCATCCGCTGGAGACGGTTTGAATGCGTCCAGATCCAGCTTCACCTATCGGGTGGTTTCAGCATATTCCTAGGTCCCGAAACAAAACTGGCAAAACTGGCAACGAACTAGTTCATCGGCTTTGTCTTTCACATGTACCATCAAAAAGTAACGCCAAACCGGCACCCGTGGCCGTGATCCAGTGTAGGGCTTGCGGGGGGCAAGCTCGAGCTGCGGCTTGAGTACTAGCTGTGGCTTCTTGTATGCGTTTGGTTTTCCATCAATGCTGATGCTTGTCAAGTCGAACCTCAGGATTGGTCGCCGCGTAGTTGAGGTGTTCTGTGACCGGGGGAGGGGCATTGTCACAGACTTTCCCGGCCACCGACGCGCAGTGGGGACGACTTGATCAGGTTGTTGGGCGTTAAATTGCTAATGATCATAGGTAAAACAAGAATAACAAGAATGTCAAGCATGGTCACAAGTGCAAGTGCCAAAGTGACCAATATTCGTGTTTTGGGAAGGAACCGCCCAGAACCACCTCCCTAATACCCATCCTTGTATTGCAACCATAATATTTGCAGCCAGAGAAACGAAAACTTTTGATTGTGTGATTCGATCATCGAGTTACCTATGTCACTTCAAAGAGAAAACTAGACTCGCTCACAGACCCGGTTCTTGGAGAAGAGTAGAGTATTGAGCTGGTTGTTGGATATTCAGCCTTGGAGCCTCAATATATGGTGTCTAAAGTAGTAAGGTCATCAAAATTGGTGTCAAGCCCTATGTTGCCCTTCAATAAACTAAACTTTGGTATGAGGTGCAAGGAATGCTCATCACAGCTTAAAAACTTAACAAGGGAGCCGTCTAGGGGGTTGCTGGGTTGACATGGAGGTTGGTCAAGCCCAGGTTCCCCATCGCTCACGAAAGTGGTCCGTGCACCACGCTAGGCTGCAAGGCCCACAAGCTTAACACTCGCCAGCAGATCGGAGCCAAAAACCTCCCGCAAACGCCAATCGCAGTTTCGCGTCGCATCGCCAATTCGCAACCGGTGCACCCTCGGTCCATTTCATCCCGGCGCGTCTTGCGAGGAAACACCGCGAACCCGGCCTCACGCCATCTTTCTGCATTCTTGGTTTCACGGTTTAGCCAAAACATCCCCAGCGCCGTGCTGCGCTCAATGCGCCAAAATGGCACCCACCAAGGCGACAGTCGAGCACTCGGTCGATCGAACCCCGGAGTATGAGAAGTTCATCGAAGAATTGCGCGTCTTCCATGAGAAGCGCGGGACGAATTTTGACCCGGAGCCGAAGATGGGCAACTTCACAGTCGACCTACTCAAGCTCTTCAACTACATCATCGAGCATGGCGGTTACGACAAGGTGTCCGACGAGAAGCTCATGTGGCGGAAAATGTGCGAGGGCCTGGGTCTGATGCGGCATAATGCCCCAGCAGATGCCTATACTCTGAAACAAATCTTTTACAAGAACCTGGCCGCATATGAAATCAAAACCGTCCACAACAAGGAGCCCCCCCCGCCTGAGATCCTCGAGTTTACTACAGCCAAGGGAGGGTCTCTGCTCACTCGCACACTGGAGACATTCCAGGCTCGAGCGAAGACAGATAGAGAAGGGTCGACTGAAGATGGCACCCCGAGTAGGGAACGGCGCGCCGAAGAAACCCCCGCCTCCGGCCGGGCCTCGCGTGGCCTGAGAGAAGCACCAGCCCCGAGGGTCATATTCCACCCCGACACCAACTCATCGCGGCAGACCCGGCACGCTTCGGGCCAGCAATCTGGCGCGTCTGGCGCAACTACGCAACCCCAATCTCAACCCCACCAAAATTCGCAATCCCACGGCGGCGCTCCGATCGCGATGCATCAGAACCCCTCCCACCCGGGCCGCGGCGCGCCCTCTGTCGTTTACAATCCTCCGGGGCCCGACATGAGCAACCCGCTCGTGCAAAGCTACCAACCGCAGCCCTCGACCCAGGTGCCGCTGCGTATTGTCGACACCCCCGCGAGCAACCCCGACTTGTTCGCAAGGAAACAGCGGCTCTTGCGGCAGCCGACGGTCCCCACGCCCAACCCAGGGGCTCTCGTTCGGGCGTCTATCCCTCCGGGTCAGTCATCCGGAACTATGTACTGCTACTCTTTGTATCTAGTCGTTCTAACCTAAAATAGGGACTCTCGATGGGCCAAACATTTACGAAAGGTGCCTCTTGGCCCTTCGTTCCAGCATCCAAGCAGAGCAGGCCTTTGGGCTGAATCATCTCGTCAAGATATCATACGAGCGTGGTGATAAGTACAAATTCTCGCAGTTCAGTGGGCTAGCAGAAGGCTTGACTGAATTTGCCCTTGGCGTCGGGAACATGTTCTATGAAGTCGAGTGGGCCATTTCCAACGACCCCGATTTTGACGACGGCGAGATCGGTGAGCTTGACGGTCTTAATGGCACAGCCGACATCCTCGAGAGGATTGCTCAGCTCAAGCCCAAGGACGTGCAAGACAATTTTCAACCAGCCGAATTCACAGACCAACTGATGCTGGTCACTGAGGCTGTCTTGACCATCCGAAACATGGTCATGTTGCCCGAGAACGCCTGGTTTATCGCCGACTACCCGCCTGTGAAGGATCTTCTTTGTATCCTGCTCCATCTCCCGGCGATGGACGTGGCCGTGGAACTCAAGCATTCCGCTCTCGACATTGCGGAACAAATTACCCCTTATCTCATCCTCGACTCCGAGGACCCGCTTTATCAAACACTCCTCATGCAACTTCGGTCGTCGGATCGCGGCATCATTCTCACCGCGCTCCGCGCTATTAGCCGCATCGCCATGAACCACCCAACCGAGACAAATAAACTAGGGGACGTCCCGGCTACTACCCTACAATGCCTTATGGACTGGCTGATGCTCAACGACGACGAGCTTGTGGATGCCTGTCTGGACTTTTTGTATCAGTACACGGCCGTTGTCCCTAACCTGGACGTGATGCTGGAGGGGACTAAGGTCGAGCACCTTGTGGTACACCTTGTCCGGCTGCTTTCGCACGGCGCCAAGCGCTACCAACGAGATATTGTCGTCAGCGAGGCGCGCCTTGTCTACGAGCCCGCCGCGGAGCAGGTCGTCCCGATTCCTAGAGACCTGCAAGAGCGGCTTCTCGCCATGGAAGAGCCCGAGCGCTGCTTTGCGTGGCTTCGCTGCTTCTTCGAGGAGGATCCGGAAGCCCAAATCACGCAAATTGCCATCTGGCAAGCGTACAATGCGTCATTCCTCGAATCTATTAAGAGGATGGGCCGTACCATGATCAATGCGCCCGAGTTCATTAGACACATCAGCACGGTATATTCGAACGCCGGCGCGCAGGTTATTCGCGAGGCCAACGGGGAGTCGCAGAAGTTCATTATGCGTGGCATCCGCCCCCGGGTCTTCCCCGTGACCACCGACGGCCGTGGCTACTTCCAATGCCAATGGCAGCGCGCGCCGGGCCAGCACATCAAGTGCGGAACCTGGAACATCAGCACCGAAAAGATGTGGGAGCATATCCTCACCGACCACCTCAACGAAACCCCCGGAGAAGACGGCAAATACCAAAACCGCGAAGCGACCTACCTCTGCACCTGGGACGGCTGCACCAAATACCACAAGCCAACCCAACTCCACCTCACCCAGTTCATGGCCCACCTCAAAACCCACCTCAAAGCCGAAGAAGCCGACCGCGCCGCCGCCGCCGCACAGCAACAACAAGCCGAGCTCCCATCCAGCTCCCACGGAAGCGGCAGCGGCAGCGGCGCCAGCGTCAACGGATCCCCCTCCAAACGCGGCTCCACTTCCTCTGCCAGCGGCGGCGGCGGCAATAGCAGCCGGGCGCGCGTGGTGCGCCCCCAAAAGACCATCACGCTGACCTACGAGGACACGGCGTCGGTGCGCGACGAGCGCAACGCCAACGCCCCGCCCCAGGCCGCCGGCATCCCGCTGTCGGCGGCGCTCATCCTGCGCAACATTGCGCGGAATGTGGTCAAGACGGTGGCGGAGGAGCAGTTGGTGAAGAAGGTGAAGGAGGCGGGGGCGGATGGTGGTAGTGGTAATGGTGGTGGTGGTGGTGGTGGTGGTGGTGAGGGTCCGGGCGGTGAGGATGGTGGCTGGAATGAGCGCCTGTTCCGGCCGGTCATGCCCCGCTTGTGGGAGGTCTTCACGGAGAACCGTGTGCTGGCGCCGTATGTGACCAGCTTGTTCCAGCTGCTGGAGAAGGAGCGGGTTGGGTTCGCTTTTCATGATTAGATTGGCAACTGCCGCTCTCGCAATCTTCCCTTGGTCTTTTGAAGTGGAGCACTCTGCGGTTGATGTCTGCTGATGGATGAGCTGCGACGGGGTGGGCGGGAGGTGGGAGGAGATGTGTGTGGCGTGATGTGTGGGTGCTTGGTGGAGGAGGATGGGAGTTATGGTGGGTACCGCGGTACACTTTTTGGGCAGCCCTTTTCCAGAGGGAGCAATTGGTGCGGCAAGGAAAGGGAAGAAAGGAAAGCGGGCGCGGATCTATGACCGCTGTGTCGGTCCTGTTTCATTGGTATGTATGTACAAGTAATACCCTTCCTTTGCCTGGAGTTTATCGGGATCGGCGGGGAGGGAGGGGGGCAAAGTACGCTCTGTATGGTACGCTTTGTATGGAATTGATGATCATTGTTCCAAATTGTGGTTCGTTCATGACTAAGTGTTGGCCAGCAGCTAGTTATGGGTCGGTAACAATGTTTTGTCGGGCTGCGCAAGTCCTGGGCAACTTTTTGTGTGTGGATGTCGGGAAAGACAAACACACGGGGCACAATCGATCGGAAATCCGTTTTCTGGAACTCTACACCACACGACAGGGGACAGGGCAGCATTTTGGGGTTTACGGGTCACGTCACGATACCTACCCCGGAGGACGACCCCATTGACCGTTATTCTGTCTGGGGCTCGATCCAATTCCCGAACCCGAGCAATTGATCGGGGCGAACCGGCCGAACCCGACAATCTAACGTCGAGCGGACTGGCCTGGGCTGGCCTGGCTGGCGTAGCAGCGGGGGCCACCCATGGCCGATGACGCGTGGCGGAAAGCGGGACGGGAGGGAAACAAGAAACATCGTGAAGTGGGAAATTTGCGGCACCTCGCGTAGGGCTGCATGCTGCGGGCACAAGCGCAAGCGGAAACATTATGCTGTGGTCCAAGCTTTTCGCTGGGGGCCAGGGGGTGGTTTTTGTGCGGTCGATCCCGGGTGGCGAAATTTGAGGCCATCGTGAGATCTGGGGAGCAGGGCCTCACGATTGGTGTTACCGGCGGGCTGGGACAAGGTGTGGCGGCTCGCTTGGATCTGTGGCCCGTTCCTTGGCATTTTTTGTGTTTGGGGTCGAGATCATCGGATGATCCGCTGCTTGCGCGCCCTCAAACTATTCTTGACGAGGTCGAATATGCCACAATAGAAATGAAGAGTTCCAGGAGTTTAGGAGGGCAAAGGTGAGCTGTCCGAGTGGGGGAGTCCATCCCCCCTATTTTCCCAACTTCCTGTGTCAGGCCTGGTTCTCATCCGCCGGGGGATGTGAAGATGCTCTGGTTCCGAACATCTACGACCCACTCGTGTCGAAGGAGAGTGGGTCAGCCAGCCGACATACTGGAACACGGGTTGACACGGGGCGACACGGGATGAGGGAACGGGAGCGAGGAGCGGCTCCGTGGGGGGAAGGGATTGGGGATGTCCCCCATCGCCGGTCTGGGAGTTGATGAATTGTTCGACATTGAAGTGGGTTGGGGTGGACTTTCGTCAAGGATACTATCTCCGGCTCAATGCTGATCCATTCAGAGCGGTGGAGGGAATAGAAATTTCCAGTTGAAACGAGTCAAACAAAACCCTCAAGATAGGAGGATTGGTGGAGCAGGTGACCAAGAGTTGCGTGGGAGGAGCGGGGTGTCCGACGCCGTCTCGCGTCGTTGGCAACTTTGACAAGGTGGTTGGACAGCATGGAGAGCGGCTATCTGTCCTCTCCGAAGTCACTGTTGGTGTTCTTCGCCACCATTTGTGACTTTGCGGTGTTGCTCCGATGAGCGGCAAAGGGATCGGCGTCTTGTCCGAAGCGATTGGGGATTTTGATACAGATGCAGGATGCTCCCATGGGTTGCAGTCGCGCGCATGGGTGCCGGACAAGTCCCGCGGTCGAAGCTTGCCACCCTGGTCTTGCATATATGGAGACTGTTCCAGAGCTCCCTGGCACTGCCCCTGATTTCCGACAGTCAACTGCGCCCGGGATTCGGGAACCAGGCTGTCCAGGTGGCCACATGACCACCAAACTTTTTCTTCCTGCCGCTGACGTGCAGGGAGACCTGGATACCTCGAGGTACGTACCGACCAGGGAGCCAACCCATGAGACCGACATGTTGTGGGGGAACGCATCAAACCCAATGGCTGGTTTATCGCTGGTGAGATCTCTGTGCTGCAATTGGCATTGGCATTGGCATTGGCATACTTCGTTGTCAGAAATTGTTAGTGTTTCGTTCTTGGGCGTGACTCGGTGGTCGGTGACTTGCCCGGTTCCCCAATCCAGTCCATCGCGGTTGTAACATTCAATCTGTGTCATGGATGATTGAAAGTTAAGGGAGGGGGTATGCACAGAATCTAACCTCAACCCGTCACGGCAGGCCAAGTCGTCGCGTCGCTGAACCGCTGAACACGAAACACCTAGCTACGAAGTACTTCGTACCTCCAACACCATTGTACAGTAGAATGGATGCGACGTGTTGAGGGGAGCTCGGTGAGCCGCAGGACGAGCCGCGGCCGCCTTCGGGAATGCCACCTGCCTTTGCCACTAATGCAATTGTCGAAAGAGACGCGTCTCAAGTGTATGCAGGGGATTCGGACAGCACATACAGAAGCTCACCGCTCCGATGGTCTCGATGGGGGGAAACAGCAAAGAGAGCGTTCCCGTTGGTCGGTGTTACAGAGAGAAGGCACCGGTGAGAGGGAAGGATGGGAATTGCGAGATTCTGGACCCCCCACGCGGTGCATCTATCAGATTTCTTTCGCCAAGCTAACGGGCGAGGCTTCTGCACTGCAACCCCATGCGCCGGCTGCGGGGCAGGATGGGCTGACAGGGGACCCCGCTTAACCTTGGCACATCCATCTCTCGGTCACTCGAGTTCGACCCAGAGCTCCCCGCCAGAACACCATGGATTCTCCGAGAGACAGCCATGTCTGCATGCATGGATTTTGCCTTTGGAACCTCGAACATGGGCAAACTCAACCATGACGGCCCGCGACAGGGTCGGATCAGGGATCCGGTGTCATGTTACTGATCAACCAAAACAAAAAACCCACAACGAAATCTCTGTTTCTCTCGGAGATGCAAGCTCCCTTGAAAGCGCGAGGCGGAGATTGACTGATCGCCCTACCGCCATGTCAATTGTCGCGCTCCACTTCCCCAGTTGAGTTAAGCAAGAGGAGTACCAATGTAAAAACGCCAGATTATAGCTAGCAGATATTTACCCGTTTGGCAAGGATGGAGTACAGGCGCGCAAGCCCGGCTGGTTTCCGCGGCCGCCACGCCAGCTTTTGGAACACCGCACGCCTGCGGCGTGGGTGGTGAAAATTGAGGTTGGTCTTGTGACTCCCTCTCAATCTCTTGGTCCCACAGACACACCTCACCGCCCGATCCTGATGTGTCGGGATGTTCGGACGGATTACCTTAGGGGTAATCTTGCAAAAGACTTTCCAGATATAAATACGAGACCAGAGCCAGCTGGAGCGCGTCCAAACTGTGTAGACAACTTGAACATCAGACGAAGTCATCGCATTTCAGCCCAACACACGAAGACAGCAACAGAAAGTAACACTGAGAAATCTCCTCAAGGTATGTGGACCCATGAGCCTAGTTTGTTGTTGGTCGAAGTCTACGGTGTCCGGGTTGGGCGTGCAAGGTGTGCGGCGGTTCGACTGAACTTTTGACGCCATCGAGCTGTGGAGATGGAAGATGCCACTTCGGGCTTCCCGCTCCCCGCAAAACTGGGATGGTGGACAGCAGTTCGAGTGTTGGAAACATGCGGAACCCACGCTGACCTTGCTTTCGGGCCAGCCGTTTCTTGGTTTCTCGTTCCCACGACTCAATCGTCGACTAAAATAATCGTATCCGCCCGTGTCCGCCGGCATTTGCCAACCGATAGTGCAGTCTGCAGCAGTGTGCGTGGAACCCGCAGATCCACAGCCCCAGGCTTGCATTGCATCAAAAAAGAGCGATCTCGACTCGAAACCGCCACCGTTCTGGACCCCGCCGGCCATTTTGCCTCATCCAAACTCCGCCATTGTTTCCGGTCCCCTGAGTACCTGAGCTAGCCGCCTCAAACGACCAGGAACATCAGTTCCGACATTCGCCTTCCAAACAACAGCCTACTCCCTATAAATATCGAGAGCCTGACGGTCGCCCATTGCTGTCAGGTTTCTGCTTCTCCAGTGTAGTTTTGAGGTCGCTATTGAGGAGCCTTGGTACCTTTGACGTACCCTGAAACCCACCGCCCACTTACACGCAATTCCCTCCCTTTTTTTCTGGCACCTCCCCAGAATTACCAACACCGCACTTCACAATCGTGCAAGTTTGGAACGGCCACACCTTTTCATCCCGACTGGTCGTTTGTTTTTTTGGCTCACGCTAAAGAACCGCGACCTATCTCAACCCCGCCATTCTCAGCCACTCACGTCAACCCATTCTCTTTTGAGACCACTCTTTCAACAAGTCGATCCGACTTTTGAAATTTGATCACCTCCGTTCAAACACTTCAAACAAATCTAAACTCAACAATCCACATCACAATGGCCTTTTCGCGCACTGCTCGCCTGGCTCCCCGCCTCACCGCCGTCTCTCGGCCTGCCTTTGCCCGTGCTGGGCTCTCGGTCTCTCAGCGAGCTGCCTTTTCCGTCTCGGCTCGCCACATGAAATCCGAGGTCATTAAGGAGACCGAGGTTCCTGTCACGGTGTACAGCCCCGACCACAAGGGCGTCGCCACTAGCAACTCCGACCACTTCAGCATTCCCGTTAAGAACGGTGCCGTTGCCCCCGAGGTTAATGCCGAGGAGGAGGATGCTGTCCACCCGCTGCATGATAAGGTCTACAGGCAGATGCCCCGCACCCTCCAAAAGATGAGCGTTCACGGCAAGGTCATCATCATCACTGGGTAAGACATCTCAAAGAAGTCACGAAACAAAGAACCAAGAACAAGTCACTAACCAATCATTAGTGGTGCTCGTGGTCTCGGCAACCATATGGCTCGTGCCTGCGCCGAGGCCGGTGCCAAGGCTATCGCCATCTTCGACGCGAACCAAGACCTCGGTGACGAGTCTGCCGCTGAGCTGCACCAGAAGACTGGCCTCCCGGTTTCCTTCTTCAAGGTCGATGTTCGTGATGGTAGCGCGATTGACGCCGCTGTCCAGAACGTTGTCGACCTTTATGGTGCTCCCGACGTCCTCGTCAACTCGGCTGGTATTGCCGACTCCAACATCAAGGCTGAGACTTATGACCCGGCTATGTTCCGCCGTCTGATCGACATCAACCTCACTGGTTCTTTCCTCATGTCCCAGTCTGTCGGTCGCGCCATGATGGCCGCTGGCAAGCCGGGCTCCATCATCCTGGTCGCCTCCATGTCTGGCTCCATCGTCAACTACCCCCAGGAGCAGTCGTGCTACAACGCCTCCAAGGCGGGTGTCATTCAGCTCGGCAAGTCGCTCGGTGCTGAGTGGGCCAAGCACGGCATCCGTGTTAACTGCATCTCGCCCGGCTACATGGACACTGCCCTCAACAAGGTCCCTGCCCTGGACGCCCAGAAGAAGATCTGGAAGTCGCTCACTCCCCAGGACCGCCTCGGCAACGTGGACGACCTCAACGGTCTCTGCGTCTTCCTGGCTTCTGACGCCTCCGGCTTCATGACCGGCTCCAACGTCATCATCGACGGTGGCTACACGCTTTACTAAGTGTTACATACGGGACACAAGGATTGGAATGCATGGCTCTGCGGGATACCCTATAGACGGCTTATGGATTTGGTGGTTTCGCACATGGGAGGAAGGACACAGCGATCTAATGGATCTCGAGAGAAGGGTAGTTGGTGCTGGGCAGCCGTGACCTTTTACTATCTTCGGGTTTTTCATCTTCTGGCTGGTGCTTGGTTTCACTTGGCTTCTGGGTTGGCGGCGTACGGCGAGGTTCCGGAAGAAACCGTTTCCTTCGGTCATGGTTGAGGAGCATAAAACTGGTTCACATATTCTAATGAAATTGAGGCACGGAATTGATTCCTCACCTACATAACTTCCAACTTTGACTCTGTTTGCCTGTGGTTTGATAACACGGGCTCTACACGTAAGGGACGCGTTTCTCACACCTCCCCGCGTTCTTTCTCAATTCCTAAGTTGCCCAAGACAACAAACCTTGTGCTCAAAACAAGTCAAGCTCACAAAATAGAACTTTGGTTTTTTTTAACCAAACAGAATCACATCAAAAGCTTGCCCACATGTTGCTCATCAAAGTGACTTCGCACAACCTCAGAAACTTATTGTGACTAATTTCCTTCAGCCTCTTTCAAGTGATCGGTACCTTGGTACGTAAAGAACCCACCACCTCTGATCCTCTTAAATCCCGCACCGATCCTTTCATATCCATCCATAACTCAAACACCAAACAATAAACCGGCTCAAACCTTGTCTAGCCGTCAACACACGCAAGAAGAGCTGGGACAAAAAAAAGCAAGTTAATTCTCGCCGTGCCAACCCTCTCAAACATGATGCTCCCATCCCCCAACAGTGGGGAACGTAACAGAAGGGAGAAAGGGAGCAAAATAACTTTTAAACGACACCATGCAGTACCAGTCAGCCTCTTGCTATGGCTGCTTGTAGTTTTATGGAGGCCGATCCCTCCATGGTCGACAGGTATGATATGCTCGCTGCTACTGGCATCATGCTCTGAAGTAAAGAATGAAAAATAGAATAAAACCTGACAACTTCATTAGCCCACACACATCTTTTCCCGATGGAGATCGACCGGTCAATGAAAGCAAAAAACGCGGAAAAGCAAAAAGAGAAAAAGAGACCGTCCACCAGAGGTCAGTTTTATTTCGATGTCAGGTCTGATGTAGAACTGAGATAAAACCTGGGTGAAGAAAACAGAAAATCGGGCTCAGAGAGTAAAGAGATCGCAAAATGATGCACAATGCCCGCCTTGCCTGTCCGCCTGCCTGCCTGCCTGCCCTGAGAGTTGAGTAAAATGGTAAGAAAAATAAAGGCTTTGATGGGGCAGCACGAGATCCCTTGCTTGATGACCAAAAAAATGCAATGCACCCATGGTAACATAGACCAGAAGGGTAGAAAGCCAGATAAACATTGCTGGTTGATACGCCGACGCCTCGATCGAAAATAGGCGGGAAGGGCTAGCTTAACAACTAGAGCCTATCAATGCCCCTTGCGGGCCTTCTCCTGTGCCCTGGCTTCCCTCGCGGCCCGGACCAAGGGTGCGAGTGTGGAGAGGTCGACGCATGTCTTCATGAATTCGTGCTGTACAGAGGTTAGCATACCTTGGAGTGGTAGGAAGTGGCCCTAAAAATGTGTGGAACATACCCTCAAAAGATCGTGCGCGCTAGCCCTCTTCTCCGGGTCGACCTTGAGCGCAAAGTACAAGAAGTCGCGGAACACAGGGGAAAGGTCCTGCTCGTTCTTGATTTGTGGCGTACCGTTCGTAGCGATCAGCCACAGAGCGCGCAGCGGCGACTCGGTTAGGTAGGGTGGCTCGCCCTCGATCATCTCGATGGCCATGATGCCCAACGACCAGATGTCCACCTTGCGGCCGTACTCCTTCCGAGTAACCACCTCCGGCGCCATCCAATACGGCGTGCCAACCATGGTTGTACGCTTGTTTTGCGCCTCGTTGATCGTCGCACAGAACCCGAAATCGGCTGTGGGGGAGGGGGACAGGTTAGCTCAAGGTTACCAGCGGCAAGGAAATAGAGAAAGAGAGAGAGGAAAAAAGAATTTGGAGTGCAAAACTTACTCAGCTTGATGTTGCCCTCCATACTGAGCAGGATATTGTCCGACTTGATGTCTCGGTGGATGACACCCTTGGAATGCAAGTGCTGCAGGCCGCGGAGGGTTTCTCGGCAGACCGAGGCAATCTGCCCCTCGGTCATGATATTAAACGTCACGACGTCGGTCAAGCTGCCGCCCTCCATAAACTCCATGACCACCCACAATTCCCCCCCACACAGGTAGCTGTCAATAAAGTTAACAATGTTGGGATGTGAGCTCTCCTTCATGACCAAAATCTCGTTGATGATGAGGTCCTTCTTGGGTTGCTGTTCTAGGTTCATCTGCTTGATAGCCACCAGCCGGTTGGTCCCCCTCTCGTGGCCCGTGTACACGCCGCCGGACGCTCCCTGGCCGATTTTGGTAAAACCTCGGTAGACTTCCCGCGGGTCGCCCTCGGAACATATCCTCTTCAGGGCGGCGACCACGTCAACACCGTTGCTCTGTCGTGGTCTGTGCCGCGGCCTCGAGCCTGGTTGCGCAACCCTCGCTTGCTGTGTTGGTGGTACCCGGTTAGGCCCATTCGGGTCTCCTTGCTGCTGTTGGTGCTGTTGTTGCTGCAGCAGCTGCTGCTGCAGGTGTGGGTGCTGCGAAGCCGGCGGGGTCGGCTGCTGCCGCTTGCTCGCTTGGCGTCCTAGCTGGCCGCTCATGGCCGCCTGCGCCTGTGCCATTGCCTGCTCCTGCTGTTGTTGCAGAAGTTGCTGCTGGTACATCGCCTGTTGGTTGGCCGGCGGTGAGGTGACCGAGGGAGATAGTTGGGAACCCAAATAAGGCGATGCGCCATTTGCTCGAGAGTTGGACCGTGACCTATGCTCTTCTGGCAACATCGGCGCGTTGTCTTTGGGGGGGAGGTAGGAGGGTGAGACGTCATCGCCTGGCGGGGCCATGCCAATTCCCGAATCCATTGTCGGGTACGCTGGCTGTGTCCTCGTTGATAGGCTCGTTGGGGGTTTGGGCGCGGGCCGGCTGGGCATGAGATTGATGTCCTTACCCGACATGAGGTGGCCTTTAGGGACTGGTGGTGGTGCGCGTGGGTTCTCAAAGCTGCCCTCGTGGCCGACGTTAGGGAACCTCGGACTTGCGGGCGGACTGATCAAGGGGGACATGGCGCCATAACCAGATTGTAGTAGGCCCGGGGAAGGGTGAGCAGTCGCGGGCGACGGGGTGGTGGCCAGACCCCGGTAGTCCGCCCGGGCGTCGTGGAATTTCTCCAATGACTGGTCCTCCTGCGGTCGTTCTTGGGTTTCTTTATAGAATGTCAAGACGTCGACGAGGATTTGAGGATGTTCTCGCGTGTCCTTCTCGGTGATGCCGCTCTCATTAATCAGTCGTTGCCATTCTTTTGGTAGCCCCTGTTGGTTAGGTTAGCATAGACGGCAAACATGATTACAACATCCGGTAATCCCATACTGTAAACTGGCCCGTGGTGCTATCATATCCGACGTGTGTTACGTGCACCGGGTTCTCAGGTGCAGAGATGAGCGGCTTCTTTGGTGACCCCACCAAGCTGTTCATGAAACCGGAGAAGCCCGATTTCTTCCTGAGCATGCTGGGGATCTTGCTCTCCTTCGTTTCGTCGGAGTAGCGTTTGTGGAGGCCGGCGCTGTCGGATTTGAGCACCCCCCCCTTCTCGTTTAGAATCGGCAGGTCGCCAGCCGGGTAGGTTGCCGACTGGCGGAGCGGCGGCGGGGAGTGTCCCATGGTTCGCGTCCCGGGATCCGCGCGGGGTGGTTGCTGAAGTGTAAGTCGAGGCGGGGATTGGTGGCCGGGTCTGTGATTGTAGTTGTAGTTGTGGTTGCCGTTGTGTTGGTTGTTGTTATTGTTGGTGTTGTGGATGTCGCTGTTGTTGTGGTTGTGCTCGCTGCTATTGTTGAGGTTGCTTGGAGTGGGGGACTTCGTGGCGGCAATGCGGTCGAGGATTGCCGTGCCGTCAAAGGGAGCGCCAATTAACTCGTCCGAAGTCTTGGAGCTGAGGGGTTGAAGGATGTCCCCCGGGACGGATCGTGGTTGCTGCGCGTCAGCTCGGGTCTGCAGGGAGCGGTAATGGGAGTGCGACGAGGGAGACAGCGCCGCAGGCGTGCCGTCGGGAAGGGTGGATGAGGTGTGTGACCGGCTCGTTGCGAGCGAGAAAGCGGGAGACTGTGCGGCGGGGAAGCGTGGCGAGAAGTCGGTCGCGTTCGAGGCCAGAGTTCTGTTGCCAGTGGGAGCGCTGGGTGCCCGGCGCAAGCTGGTCGAGCTTTGTTTGCTTCCTAGAGATTGGGCGTCAACACGGCCGTCGGACGCAGCGCTGAACCTTGAGCTCGAGTGGTGAGAATGGTAGTGCGCTGCTGCCGTCGGAGGCTTCTTAGTGAGCCTGCGACGCTGAGAGCTAGCGCTGGAGCCACCACTTGCAATCTTTGGACTGTCCATCTCACGGCCCAGGCGCCCGGGAAATGAAGCAAAATAGCAATCAAAAATTTCAACGTACAGTTTGGGAGCCAGACAAAGCAGCCAGATGGGTGCCGGGGTAATTGAGGCACCGAACGAGGGTCGCAGCGAGCAAAATTGCGTTTTCTCTCGCCGTTCGTTGCTCCTGCTTGATCTCGTCCTCTCCTTGGCTCTTCCAGGTTCCGCTTGGCTGCGGTTCGAGATGCCCTGGCCTCTGCACACCGGCCACCTGGGGGGGTGGCATCCAGCGGGGCCCGACCTGATTGGTGCCTGCAAGCTGGATGAAGTCGCAGGGGACTGGCACACACAGTGTGTACTCCGGTTGGCAGGGAACAACCCTTCAAACGGACTGTCGGGACCCGTTGCAACGTTTTTTACGATCTTGTTCTGCACAACATGGAACCGGGAGTGAACATCCTGACATCCAGGTTTTCAAAGAAGGGTGCTTGGGGGTTGTTCAGACGAAGGTTGTTCGGCGGCATCAGATGAACCCCCAAGACCACAAACCGACTGGGAACCGGGTGGAACGGGACTCTACAGTGGACAATGCTCGGGTGTGGGTGTGAGTTCTTGTCGCGCCACTCATCAACTAACTACCTGTCTCATGTCACTGGGTGACTGGTAGTGACTCGGTGGTTAATCACCTCCACTTCGCTGGCTGTTGGCCGTGAAGGCTTGCCTGATGAATCTTGCAACGCCGCACCACCGCTCGAGAAACACCCTGGTCGTTCCCTACCGGCCCGCGCCGTCTTCGAGAGCATGGGATTGTGCTACACAGCTTGCAACAAAGCTGGAACTATCTGTAAGGTTGGTTGCTTCTTTCGAGTCAGCCATCTCTATACATAGTAAACAAGCACATGTAAATATTCAACCCAAGCGCCTCCGCCATTCTCTTGGACGTGGAATGGGCATTGATGGCACAGATAACGTTTGAGCAAACAGCCCAGCCAAGGGTATGGTGGGGCTAGCCGCCATCCGTGCGGGATGAAGGGGTTGAAGTGGGGCTTCGTTAACGGAAGTGACACTGTGCGAGCGGAACGGGACACGGACGGTTTTTGTCCTGGGTACCTCCCAGGTCGTTACATAGGCGGAACGGGCCTGGGCGAAATCTTTGCAATGGGGAACAACCGAAGAAATGAGAACAGAAGCTTGGTTTTCTCATGACACAGAGCTCGCAAGCGGCTAGAATTTGGCGGCGATCGGCGTTCGGCTGAAAAGGACCGTTCCATCGCCTGGCATCTCGGACCCCACAGCCGTTTCGGGGACTCCAACGAGAAGCGGGACACAGATCTGGCCAAGTTTGTTCTCGCCATCCATCCATGGTGCGATGATGCGCTTGGGTCCAAAGCCGCGGTTGTTGAGGATCGTGTCAAACAGTCAACGGCTTTCTCCAGGATTCCACGGTATCCTTCCCGGGCTGTCGGTGACGGAATAACTGGGTACAATATTACTACCCAGAACTCTTCGTTCCACATCAAGCTTCGGGGTTGATGCCGATGCATCGGTACTGCAATGACGCAGGAAGGGTTCAACTGCCAGGCTGCAGACGGGACATTTTAATGACACTCCCTGACCCCTGTTGTGCTCGGTCTCATACGAAGTGCATAATTCCATTTGCAAAGCAAGAAGGCCGGAGCTACCAGAAGTGTCTCGCCACCCCCATGCTTCGTTTTGATATCAGCTCATCTACGGCCAGCTTTTCGAAACCTAACAGCCTAGCAACAAGGGGTGAGCTGAAAGGCGCAAAGCAATTGTTACCAATAGCCGAAAAAATTACATAACATTGAGAGCCTCCTCAGACCTTTTCTCACGTCCATTGCCACCCGTCGCCAGGTTGGCCAGTCGGGTTTGTGTTCAAAGCACCCTCAATGCGGCGAGGTGGCCTCCATAACAGGTGGGTTCGGTGAGGCTCGGGGTCGGCTCCTTGGGTCAGGTTGGAACCGGGTTGCTTTGGGGGCCGCTCCATCATCCTGCGTGATGCAAAGGCTTGCCCATCCTCCTTTACAAGTAGATACATTGTTGCTAAGGGGAGCTCAGCCCTAACCCTACATCGACCCGAGAACGCCATCAAGAGTCGTTCCTCACTTCAACAAGTGGCTGTGACATGCAGCTGCGGTGAAACTCAACTTCTCCGTGCTCTCTTGTCACGTGGGACAGCCCCTTTTTGTTTTTATCGTACAAACCCGTTTGGGATGGCTTCAATCTTGTTTCGGCATTGGTGTGGGCGAGTGCGGTCTTGCCCCTTGCCCCTTAACAACCCCGGGAGTTAATTAACTGAAGAATCGAGACACGTGAGGCTATCAAAAGAGAAGAACAGCAGACTAAAAACCGATCCCCTTTGCAACTCGAACCACTCGCTTTAAGGTTGGTAGTCAGAGGAGCATTGGCTTCAAATGAACTAGAGCTTTGCGGGTGTACGACCATTACCATTACGAGCCGGGCAGTTACGGAACAACCAGTATACGATACGGACCTGGACCCCTGTTGCCCGACGGAGAGATGTTCACACTGACCAACAATTAATCATCGGTTGACATGGGCGTTTATGGATAGTTAGGTACCTATGATATGTGTATTACGCGCTGGCTGCAGCAAATTCCGTCATGACATGTGTGAATTGATGGTGCATGCGTCTGAGCTGCTGTAGGTAATGTATCGTATTTGGTATTACAATTGATCTGGTTTCACGCTAGTGCAGTTCCAATCCTAGGAGAGGTATGCAAAAAATTTGGCCCTAGCAAGTCGTTCCATGTGTATCTCTAGGTTGGCTAAGAGGCGATCGAGGTGGGTGACCTGGTGGCGGGTTGTAGGTTTCGACTGTCTCCTGTGTATGTACAGACATACATACTTGTAAAGCGGGCTGCCGTACTGCCAGCACATGGGAGATCTGGTGCCAAGACTTGCAACGTCCGCACCGACCGCACCCCAACAATTTTTGGGGAAGGTACGACGTTGCAGGAGCAGGCGAAATGTCCACTTCTCACGTATAAATCCCCTGGCCACCCCCAAACCCGGACCACTTCACCTTGCAGCCTCACACTTTACAGGTAATTTCCTTCCTCCCTTCTGTTGTCTTTTATTCAATCGAGTGCGGCGATCTGCTGGTTTAATTGCTATTTGCTGATTGCTCGCACTTCCTTGTCAATTCCTCCCCCCGTATCTTTTTGCTACCTCATTTTCTAACAAGAGCCGTCTTGACTCGGTCAGCAACGTAGACTCGGTCAACATCCTACACACTCGGCCCGACCACCCTTCCGCTGTTCTCTTACGGTTTCGTCCCACGGTACCTCGACAATGTCGTCTAGCACTATCTCGAACGACTTCCCGGAACTCGGCGGCGCCCCCAGGGCTGTGGCCAACGTGGCCCCCGTCTGGCTGGCGCGGACTCCCGAGGCCTCTGCACCTACTTCTGCACCGGCCTCGGGGACCACCACGCCGGCCCCCGAGGCATCGGCCGCCCCGAGCCTCTCCATTCCGGGCCAACACAAGGAATACCTTCTCTTGAAGCCGGACGACATCCTCCCTCGCGAGCAATTGAAGCGGCCGCTTCCCGACATCATCAAGGACTTCAACCGCAAGTCCCGAGCCCAAATCAAGCTCGTCCCTCACACCGATAACATGCTCAGGATTGAGGCAACCGGGCCCAAGGGCGACAGCACGACTCAGTCGCTGAAGGACTTTGTTGCCCTGATCGGCGCCAAGTTGAAGTTGGAGCTGGACGTTCATCGCTGGGCGAGACCCCATATCATTGGCAAGGGTGGGTCTACCATCAAGGCCATCCAAGAAAAGACAGGCGCTCGGATTCATGTGCCCAAGGAAGATGGTCAGTCGGCCCCCGAGGGCGAGGACGATGAGGAGCTCATCAAGGTCGTTGTTGAGGGCAACACCCAACAGGCTGCCCATGCCCGGAATCTCATCTACGAGATCATGGGTGAGCGTGCTGGGACCGTCACCACCACTTTGAAGGATATCCCGGCTGAATTCTACCCCTTCATTGGTGGCGCGAACAACAGCAACGTCAAGGCGCTCGAGCAGGAATATGATATTCAAATCCGCATTCCTTCCGCCCAGCCTTTTTCGTCCACGCCGCCCGTTGCGGTTTCTTCGGGGCGCCCCACGTTCCATGCCGCGGCTGACAATTTCATCCAGCTGCGCGGCGAGCGATATGCTGCGAAAGCTGCGCGGTCGAAGATCGAGGAGAGGGTCCAGCAGCTCCGGGACCAACTGACGGTCCAACTGGTTCATATCCAACCCGGCCGTCACCAGTTCATCATCGGAGAGAAGGGCATCTCGATGGAGCAGTTCTTCGAGGAGACCGGATGCACTATCGTAATGCCGAATGACGAAGACGATGACATGGTCAAAGTCATTGGGCCCTCCAACCAGGCCGCGGCCGGCGTGCAAAAGACCGTTAGCCTCGCCATGGACATGCAGTGCTCCAACATTGACATCTCGCGCTTCTACCGCCAAGCCCCCGGCGGCGCTGCCGTCCACGCTCGCAATGTCACACGCTATCTCCAGCAGAAGCGGGAGCTTGAACGGGTGGGCAACTTGCATAACGTGCATTTCAACACCCCGTTCTCCGAGCAAGGCGCTTTGCCATGGGAACTCTACGCTCGCGATGGCGCGAACATTGTCAGAGCTCAGGCCGACATCAAGGCCATGGTTGATGGCCACCCCCCGGCACGGATGACTACCGTCACTGTCGATCCTTTTTACCATCAATACATCAGGAAGGAGCTGCTGCCCCACGTGCGACAGACCTTCGGTGTCCACCTCGTCGTCCCCGAGGCTTCGGAGCCGAATGCTTCGGTCTTGTTGGTGTACGAAGGCTCTTCGGATCCCGAGTCCTATCAGATCGCGCGGGCTCAGCCGGGACAAAAAGACATCAGTGAGATGCAGAAGGGGCTCCAAGGCGCCCAAAAACATATTACCGATTTGATGAAACAGCGGGAACCTATCTCTTCCCAAACCATAGAGGTCCCAGTAAAGTGAGTATTCCGCTTGCCCACCCGTGGCGAGATTACCAGCGCCCTGACACGATTGCAGATTTCATACCAAGCTTCAAAAGTTCATCAAGAACGAGCAAGACGGTGCCTCCAACCCAATCCGCGCGCGCGTGTCCAACAGCGGCGAGTCCGTTCATATCCGCGGCCCCACCTCTGTCGTAGACTGGCTTGTCGCCAAGTGTCTCGAGTTCGTTGAACAAGAGAAGCAGGACGAGAAGGAGCGTGGATTTATCCTTGAGTTCGAGTTCCCTCAAAAGTTCGCCAACCACTTGATCGGCAAGGGTGGCAGTAACATTCGGGAGCTGAGGGAGAAGTTTGACGTCGAGATCCAGGTGGATGATGGGAAGGTCCAACTCAAGGGCCCCAAGGCCAAAGCGGAGGTCGCAAAGACGCACATCAATGCTCTTGCACGCCAGCTGCAGGATGAGGCGACGCATGTGCTCAAGATTGACCCCAAGTTCCACCGCGAGATTATTGGTGCTCAGGGGAACCAGGTCAACAAGCTGCAAACACGTTACAAGGTCCTCATCTTCTTCCCTCGTAGCAACACCAAGAACGCCAAGGACGACGATTCTCTCGGCGACTCGGCCAGCGATGCCGGGAAGAGCCGCCGTCAGCAGGCGGCCGACGAGGTCATCATTCGCGGGCCGAAGCGGGGTGCCGACGAAGCTCGTGACGAGTTGTTGTCGCTCCTGCAGTACCTCAAGGACAACTCGTTTACCGCCACCGTAACGGTCCAGAAGAAGCAAGTGCCTTCTCTGATCGGTGCCGGCGGTGCCGTCTTGGAGCAGCTGCGCCAGTCGACGGGCGCCAAGATTGACGTACCCAGCGCGAAGGAATCTACCGAAGACCTGGCAGAGATCCAGATCAAAGGCACCAAGACCCAGGTAGCAGCAGCCAAGAAGATCCTGGAGGAGAAGAAAGCCATCTTCGATGACACCGTAGTCAAGAAGATTGAGGTCCCCCGGAAATACCACAGGACCCTCATCGGCACTGGTGGTAAGTTTGACATCCCGAGATGACCATAAACCACGATGATTAACAGATCCTTAGGTTCTACCCTCCGCGACATTGTTGTCAAGGCCGGGGGTTCTAGCGACCAGCGAGAGCTGGCCCGCACCATCCAATTCCCCAAGCAGGACGCTGACGGCGATGCCATCAAAGTCGAGGGTCGCAGTGAAGTCGTGGACAAGATCGTGGCTCACATCGAGGCCATTGTGGCAGAGCGCGAGAGCCAGGTCACCGAGGAGCTAGATGTGCCTGTCGAGAAGCACAGGTCCATTGTCGGACGCGGTGGCGAGACGAAGCGGAATATCGAGACCCAGTTCAAGGTCTCCATCGACGTTCCTCGCCAAGGTAGCGGCACCACGAGCGTCAAAATCACCGGCCAGCCGGCCGATGTGGAGAAGGCCAAGGCTCATGTCGAGGACATGGTCAAGGAGCTGCCAGGCGAGACCGTCCAAGTCCCCCGGGCTTTGCACCACGTCGTCTCCAACAACGGCCAGATCTTCCGAAAGTTCAGGAGCGACTTCAGCGTGACAGTCGACCATGCTGGCGAAACTGTTCCCGCCAAGCCCACGGCCCCGAAGAGTGCTCGTGCGAATGGCGACTCGCTTCCCTTGATCACTGATGACGACGATACCACCGCCGACGCTCACTCTTGGCAGGTGGTGGAGCAGGCATCCACCGAGGAGGGTGATATCCCGTGGGTTCTCCGCGGTTCGCCCGAGAATATCGAGAAAGCCAAGAAGGCTATCCAGTCGGCGCTTGATCAGGCGAGCAATCAGACCGCCACCGGCTACCTGGTTCTTCCCGACCCCAGGACGTACCGTTTTGTCATTGGCCAGGGCGGCAGCAAGGTCAACTCGATTCGGAAGCAGAGCGGGTGCAAGATCACGGTTCCTCGTGACCAAACGCAGGGCGATGCTATCGAGGTCGTCGGTACCAAGGAGGGCGTGGAGAAAGCAAAGGATTTGATCCTGGCCGCTGTGAAGGAGGGCAGCGCCCCGAGACTGCCGCGCGAGTAGAAATCGCATGGCCGACTCGAGATGGGAGGAAGAGATACCACATCTAGTTTTGTTTACCGGGATGTACGGGTGGCATAATAGAGGAGGCAGGGGAGCGGGTAGGGAACGGTCCAAAAAGGAATACAGGATGCAGCAGGCATAGCCGTCATATTATAAGTTTGCTTTCACTCTATCAACCTTTTTCCCTCTTGAGCGCGCTGCTTCTTATCATTTCAAGCTTCCTGGCGTATTCGTTTCGTTCAGCGTAATCATCAAACGGTTGTATAAAACGAACCTTGAACTAATCTTCGTCGTCTTTATGTGAAGATGGACATATGAAGAAGACACAGCCTACCAGGCATTATGCCTAGCTCACGTATATCCATCCCCTAGGTTCTGAGAAACTCACTTGTATCCGATCTTTGTTTTATGTGTCCAAATCAAGAACTGGGAAAAGTCAGTCATATCCCCAGGGGGTGGAGATCTACGAAATGCAGTCCTTGGTTATGGATCACCCCCGAAGAACTGTTGAATAAATCATAACTACCGTTTTTCCATTTTTTTTTTATCGCCAAACCGATATACTCCGTCGCTGTGCAGTAAACGACTGACAACACAAAGAACCGCAAACACTCATTTTGACCTTGATAAATAAGCAGCCCTTATAACACAGACCCCCAGAACCTAACCGAGCCAACCAACAGTTTCGACGAACCACCCATATATATATATTCCTTCCTCCTTCCATACTTTCTCTTACATAAAATCATCCTCCCCCCCTTCCCCCTCTCCCTCCTCCTCCTCACCCTCCTCACCTTCCTCCTCCGTCTCATCACCCTCCAACGGCCGACCCATCGCCAACCGCGCCGCCTCGTCCGCAAGAGTGATAATATCCCTCAGCAGCTCCTCAGGCCGACTCCGCGGAGGCATCGACGACGACGACGAACCCGCCCTCACTCCATCGCTGCCCTCACCACCACCACCACCACCACCCTGGATGGGCGGCAGGACGTTGCTACCGCTGTACCTTTGCGCATTACTGTAGCCGTAGCCGGGGTCGTCAGCCGTGGCCGTGGCCGTGGTGGTGTTAGCTAGCGGCGGCGGGAGAGCGCGTCCGGTGCCCGAGCCCGGGCCCGACGAAGATCCGGAGATGAGCGGGCGCGGCTGTTGTGGGATGGCCTCGCCTGGGGCACGTAGCCGCACCTTCACTTCGCCGGCAATGCCGTCGATGCGTAGGCTTGCTGTTTGTGGTTGCGCGGCAGGCCCCGCGGTGCCGCTTCCGCTGCCTTGGGCTTGGGTTGTCTGTTGCTGCTGTTGTGGTGCCCTCAGGTTGGGCGGTGGCGACATGGCGATTAGCTCCCGCAGGTACTTGTTCGCCTCGTCGGAGCCGTCCATGAGCCATTTCAGGCAGATCTGTACCCGCTCCCGTGCGTAGCGGTTGTGGTCGTCGTAGACGCAGCAGTTTAGAAGGCTGATCACGCCGTTGTGACGAAGGATCTGGGATTGAACTTCGGGGTTGCCTGGACTGCTCCGCCCCGGCGGTGGTTGCAGCAGTCCCGCAAGTATGTGCAGGATCTGGCCCTTGATGCCGGCCCACGGGTACTTGTGCGCTGGTTCTTCGAGGGGTGGAGGGGGGGCCAGAGGATGGTCTTCCGAATCGTAACCCGCGTCCGGGTCGTCCGGGTGTGGCGGGGGCTGCTGGTGCTGGCGGGGATTGTTGGAGCGGTTGGGCATCTCGACCATGGGCTTTTTGGGGACGCCGGCTTCGAGGCCCTTGAGAAGAGTCAGGAGCTCGTAGGTGGCTTCCCATTCAATGAGGTACCGGCGAGTCTCGGGGAGTTCATTGACGGTGGTGAGGAGCTCGAGGAACTGTTGGATGCCGTCTTTGGCGCGCTCCATGTCCCAGCTGTCGACGGGGAAGTCGGCCGGATCACACAGGTCATTGCGAATCTGGGCTTGGAGGTGCATTAGTGCCGCGCATTCCGGCACTATACGACTGCGAAACTGGATGAAAAGAAAGTGTAGCAGCTTGGCATCCCGGATATGCTCCTTTGACTCGACGGGCGGCGGGTCGTTGTTTCTGGCACGGCACATCGTGTTAACAAGCCTCAGCAGGACGGTCTGTGCGGGAGATATGATGTCCTTGGGAATGCGTAACGATTGCCAGGCGTAGGGGACCAGGGCGCTGTGATGGATGGCTTCGACGATCTGGGTTGTCAATTGGAAAATGAGTGACTGCTCGCTCTTTTCCCAAACAGCAATGAAGACCAATATCTCTCTAAGGAGGCTCCTGCCGCATTCCATAGCCATAAACATTCTGCATCTGGTCTTTTGGAGGTTTTCCCCTGCCTTGCTCAGCACCAACCCCGCGTTATCGAGTATGCATGACTTGACGATCATGTGGAGCGCTTCAATCTGCTTGGGGTCGAGGATGTTAGGTACTTCCGTGAGCAACCCATTCATCGGCCCCTCGCCATACGAGTCGTCGTCATCAATATCTTCCTCCTCGATCATGTCGTCGTTGTAGTCGTGGACATAATGGCCACCTTCTTTCCCTTCCTGGTCGGTAGCGCCTTCTGGTAACGGGCCACCCTCGGTGGAGTGAACCGACCCCTCGTGTTCGGCAGTCCGATACGAGTGAGCATATCGGTTGACAAGGTTGGCTTTGCAGTTCTCGGTCCTCTGCTGGGCGAACTCAACGGTGGGCATAGGAACTACCCAGCCATCGTAGTTGGGGTCCCGTATCTTGAGCCACCATGTATCAACTTCTCTCGAAACCCGACCGTAGGCCTTGTCTTGTTCAAACTTGTCGGGCTCGTCTTCCTTCCACAGGGGGGTAATCTTGGTGGTGTTGTCGAAGTCATCCGCGCGCACACGTACTGTGCCCTCTGGAAGCCAGTTCCAAGCCAGCGGAGAAATGCGGGGCAAGTGACCAGGAGGCAACCCCTTGGCTGCTAAATTCTCCTCGTAATCAATGAGTAGCTGGCGAGCTTTGTCGCAGAAGCGAGAGTTCCGTTCGAACCAGTTTTCAACTTCGGTCTTAGCGATATCTGGGCGGAACTCTCCGTAGGCGTTACCGTCGGATTCGTCAGAGAGGGCGTCGTCGTCGAAGAGAACAGTAGACCAGAAAGCCATTTTGTTGCGGTCATTCTTAGCAATCCAGTTATGGGCTTGTTGTAGGCACGTAACGAGCAACTTTTTATCTAGCGGCGAGTTAGAAAGGGCAGGTCTTGAAGCGGGGAGGGGGAAACCTGCAGAGTTCCGTAATCTCACTCAGTTTCAGTCTCGCAGCTTCCTCAAGAACATCGCCATCATAGGCCTTGCTAGTGACGTTGATGCAGAGAATGATAGTCTGGTAGAGCATCTGATCGAATTGAGCGGCAGCACAGAGGTCCTGGGGAATCTCGGGCTCAGGCACGACCAGCAGGTTCCTGGCAATATGCATGAGCTTGATGAGTAATTGTAGGTCCTCTTTTAGCGATGGATAATTCTTAGTTATCAACGCTGTGCTCTCTTGAGGAGTGATGCCCTTGTCAGGGTCGTTGAGGTTAGCAAGGGGGCCAATGGACCGCGTGGTCAGACTAGGAATCGCGGCGGCAAAGTCCCGGGTGAGCCAGATCCAAACTTCGACACTCCTGGATAGCGTTTCCCTGCAAAAGCATCAGAATACAAATCAGAGAGAATAAGAATAGACCCACCGTACCTGACATCTTTTAGGTTGTGTGTCTTTTCCAGTGTTCTGGAAATGAACTTGGTGACATATGCCATGGTACGGGGCCCGATGGCCGGGTCTAGTTTAAGCCAACCCTCAAAGCAGCTCATGGCCGATGTGAAGCACAATTCCTCGATGCTTAGAGGACGCTTGCTTTCCGCCGTATCTGCAGTCGCCATCTCGGGCGGTAGTCCTGTCGATGATGCCATCGCTATCGCTCCCCGGACTGGCGACGCTTAAACTCTCAGAATGCCACCTCGTCTTCAGAAGCTTGTGCGATGCTAGCCTGAAGTAGTCAAATATGGAGAAGCAGATAGTCGCGAAAAGATTTAGAATCGAAAGAATAACAAGAGCTTCTAGCCTCGTCTTGGGTGAAGGGCAGGTACGATGACTCGGTTCGTGGGATGGCCGGTTGTAGGGTTGGATGGGTTTGATGAATGTTAAACCCCAAGGCCAAGATTATGTTGTTGTAGCTCTGTTGCGTGGCAATGGAGATGTTAATATTTTTTACCCTCGGATTTTCATGATGAGGGCTACTTGGGTAGGGTATTAATTTTGGAAATGTCTCTTGAACTGTACGGAGGGTTGTAACTTTCGGCAGGCGGCTGCGCAGTTACGCCTGTCTAACCGCTTTAGTACTAGCTTTATGACTTTACCCCTGCTGGGCCCTTCTTTCCTCGACGTCGTCGCAACGGCGGGGTAAAAATCACCCCATCAGCCCCTCCAAAAATTGCGACAGCGGTGGGGGTCGCTGAATAAATACCCGAACCCGCCGAGGGGAGGAACCATTACCGGCGTCGTAGAGAGAGCGACCTCTTTTCACTCATTCCCGTTCTCCAACAATCCAAACCGCCACCATGACCGTCGACATCCTCTCGCTCCCTACCGTCTTCGACCGTAAGAATGCCCTCCCTCTCCCCTTCCACAACCCCCCACCAAAACCACTTCACCAATGCTCCCCCACCAAGACTAACACCTCCCCCCCCCTTCCAGGACCGGTCCACATCGCCGTAATAGGCGGCACCGGGCTCTCCTCCCTGCCCGGCTACCACCCGGTCGCGGCCCTCACTCCGACCACCCCCTGGGGCGCGCCGTCCTCGCCCATCCTGATCCTGGAGCACGGCGGCGTGCCGGTCGCCTTCCTCGCGCGCCACGGGCTGCACCACCAATTCGCGCCGCACGAAGTGCCCGCGCGGGCCAACATCGCGGCGCTGCGGGCGCTGGGCGTGCGCACGGTGATCGCCTTCTCCGCGGTGGGCTCGCTGCAGGAGGAGATCCGGCCGATGGACTTTGTGGTGCCCGACCAGGTGATCGATCGCACCAAGGGTGTGCGCCCGTTCACCTTTTTTGAGGGGGGCGTGGTGGGCCACGTCGGGTTTGCGGACCCGTTCGATGCGGGGCTGGCGGCCGTGGTGCAGCGCTGCGCGGCGAGCATGCGCGGTGAGGGCGTACGCCTGCACTCCAAGGGTACGATTATCTGCATGGAGGGCCCGCAGTTCAGTACTCGTGCTGAGAGCCACATGTACCGCTCGTGGGGTGGCAGTGTGATCAATATGAGTGCGCTGCCCGAGGCTAAGCTGGCGCGCGAGGCGGAGCTGGCGTACCAGATGATTTGCATGGCGACGGATTACGACTGCTGGCATTCGACCGAGGATGTGGATGTCGCCATGGTGATGAAGTACATGGCGGCCAACAGTGAGAATGCCAAGCACCTTGTGGGCGCGGTGTTGGATGAGCTGTGCAAGCAGGATAATAGCGAGCTGGTGCTGGCCAAGCACTGGGCTGGGAGCGCGCAGGGCGCCGTCAAGTTCATGACCAAGCCGGAAGGGCGTGACCCCGAGGCGATGAAGAGGGTGGAGTATCTCTTCCCTGGGTTTTGGGATCAGTAGATGGTGAGAGCTGGGGCGGGAATTTTCGGTTCGGGCGCTTTGAGAGCGAGGGATTTTGGGAGTTTATAGACACGAGAGATGATAGACATGCCGTAGGACCTTAGACCAACGCTTCAAGACTTTGTCACGGTCCAAGGTGACTCACAGAGCTGCTATTTCCGATGCCGGGCGCCAGTGTAAGTTAGGTATATATGCAGGTATCCTATAGGTATGCCAATGCACCGGCAACATGCTCCAACAGAAAGGAAAACAAGAGTGTCCCCCGAAACATACAACAGACACGCCACAACACCAAACACACCTTTGAAGCAAAAAAATAAGCAAACAAACCCAAACCCAAAACCGCCTCCGCTCTATTGCTCACATCAAAAGGTACAGCGCCCTCACGGCCTTCTCCGCGACAGCCACATGCCACGGCCTCACATCCACATCCCGTTCCGTCACGCCCCTCACGCGGGCTAGTGTCCCCAGGCCGCGGAAATACGCCAACATCTCTCTCAGAATCACATCGTACATGGCCCTCGCGTTATCGCTGTACACTACGTTGACTTCCATCGCCACCGGCGCGTCTTCCGGCCTCGGCCCGGCCCGCTTCACCAGATAACCGCTCGCGAGCGCAGGGTTGAGGTCCGTGAGGGACGCCGAGTTGTTCAGCCTGTGCGAGACAACCACGCCCCAGGTCGTCTCGGTTGTGTCGATCAAGGTGGTGTCGCCGCCATCTGTGTCGGGTTGGTTGGGTTGAGATGGTAGTTGTTGTTGCTGTTGTTGTGAGGAGTCGCCGCCAGGAGTTGTGGCGTTTATGCCGGAGCCGGTAGTGCCCATTGGCGTAGAAGGGTTGCCGGATTGGTCGGGAGAGAGGACGGAAAAAGGTTGCGGGGTGGAGACTGGGGTGGTGTAGAAGGCGGAGGGGGCGGAAAGGGGGATTGTTGTAATGGGTGGGATGAGTTGGAGGGATGGGTCGGTGTCGGTTGTGAGGAGGACTAGACTGACGGTGGCGCGGGCTTCTGACTGCGCTAAACCGGTCCAGAGCTCCATTTCGTGCTGCTCCATCGGGCTGCACTTGGTGATGACGACCCGCCAGTGGACTTTGCAAGTAGAGATTAGGCCATGAGTCGTTTCCCAAATCTCGTGGATGACATCCGCTAATATTCTTGACAACGGTTTGCCTCGCCTGCCGAGGCAGTATGAGGCCATCGATTGGGTACTGCCCCTGTTGTCTGTCCATGCGGCAGTGACCCACCGTTCATCCACGCTCCGTGCGTACGCGACATGGATACATGAGCTTTCTCGCAGCAGGTTCGGCGATGGCGTAGCAGCGAGCTTGAAGTCGATCCCCCGCGGCAACGCCCGTTCAAGCATGACCGCCGGCGAGGGCATGGGTCCGCCGAAGAGCGTGCAGCGGTCATACGTCTCCAAGCAGAGCTTAGTACATTCCGATGGAGACAGGACGACCAGTGACGTCTCCGAAGCAACGGCATCGAGCGGTACAAGCTGGAGCGCCAAGTCGTTCGAGATTTGTTTCTTCTTATCCATCATGCATCTCTTGTAGTGTTCGAACAGCTCTTGGAAGGCAGAGCAGCAATCCACAATTGAACTAGGATTCCCTGGCGTGTATGCAAAATAGACGACGAAATTCTTCTCTGACATGGATAGGCCAGCTAGAGACATGGCAAGATTCGTCATCTGGTCAGTATATGCTGACCGGGCCCGAGGTGAATTAAGCGCCGGAGAGGCGATGTCATGGTCCGTCGGCAGCAAAACAAGGCCGTCCACGATGTTGGCGATAGTTGGTAGCCTTTCAAAGGCACCGAGCTTCAACGATTCGTAGGTGCTCTGAACCCTGTCCAGGAAGGCAGACGCATTGTCCCGCATGCCTTCAGTCTGGGGGAAGATGCACACGGCGACGACACTCTTCGGTCCCTGTACTGGCCCAAGACCCAAGGTATCCCAAAAGGTGACAGCGGATGGAAGCACCGAGAGTTGGTTCTCGTAGCGCCGAATTTCGACGTGAGGTGTGGGGATGAGGAAAATACTCGGTTTGGGAAATTCCGCAGGCCTCACTTGCACCCGTGCGTTGGGCTGTACGAGGAGGGGCACATCCTGGACTTCTGTGAATGGACGAAGTCGACACCCGACCGCCCCAGACAACGATCGAGGGAGTGCCTTGTGCAGGCCCTTGATTGAGTAGCGTATGGCCTTGATCAAGCTTCGACGCAGATCTTGGACCTCGGAGCTTTGGTGCTGCGGCGCCAGTTTGAGCGATCCGCTTGCTGCCTGCTCGGTGAGAATCTGTGCCACCGTGATGAAATCGTCGTCGGAAACAGATATGCGGAGCGGTGCGGGCTCTGGATCAGCAAAGTATCTAGAGAGGGAAAAGTCGGGGATCTCAGAATTTGACAGCCGGGACAGATCGACCGGGCCATAGCCCGGGGAATCTACTGATATGTTCTCCAGCTCCCTGAACGAGGCCGCCATGGATATAACATCGTCCTCCGGCCGCCTTCGTACCACGCTTGACTTTGTCGGCGACGAGGCGTGGCCTATCTGGTCGCTCGCATCCTCATCCAGCGAGGCTGAGCTGCTGTCACCTGATTCTGAGCGGGCGTCATCTTGTTGTTTCGGCCCATTAGGAGCGACATTGGCTATCCTGGCCACGAGGCAACCGATATCAGGTGGTAGCTCCTTGAGATTCCTCCGTTGCCGTGCGGACCCAAGTGGTCGACCGGCAGTGAGCAGGCTTCCGTTTTGAAGTGTGCCGCCTCGCTTCTCCTTACGAACCGTAGAAGTATAATCAAACGGGCCTTTCTCGTATTTTTTCGTCGCGGGCGACAGGGCTGGATCAAAATTGACCTTCTCAAATAAACTGCGGCGCCGAAGAGGGCCTCGTTGGGTGGATAGTATCAGTGGCGAGCGGCGAGTATGGAGGCGCTTGAAAACGGTTTCGGGGTTGAATGGACTCGGGTTCCTCTTGATCCCGGCTATAGAATTACGATTAAAGCTTTCCATATTAGTTTGTTGCCGATTCTCATCGGCTAGTGTGCTGCGTGCGTGTCTCAGTTCGGGTTTGGTGAATTGCGGAGAGACCGAGGGTGCATCCATTTCGTCCTCCACACCATGGGCTGCCGGGGGTTGCTCTTCGAACTGGTGATTCCCGTTCTCTTGTATTGCCATTGCCGAGGATTCCAATTCTGGAAGATCGGACAAATCCATCGCTCCGGAATCCGGATGCTCATCGAAGAAGTTGAAGTCCGCCTCAGTAAGTTCGTTCCCTTCAAACATGTCTTCTCCCAAATCACCGAAGAGATTATCTTCGGCAAAGTTGGCCGTTGCTGGCTCAGGCCTTGGCTCGGCGCCATTCCAGGTCGCGTTGAAAGTATCCGGCACTGGGGCATCCTGTCGCATGGCGGCGTGACCATCAGCGGCCGGGTTCGTAAGTGGTTGGCCGGCGGGGCTTTGGACCTGGCCACCGTCAAAAGACGGTGTAACACCGGACATTTGCACTCCGTCTGGAGGAGTGGGATACATCGTCCCCGTCGCAGGGGGCGGCGCGCCGTTCGCCGAGCCGCGCCAGAGAGCCATGGGCGAGTACCCATTTGTCTGCGCATGGCCTCGCACGTCCGGCTCAGCAAGCTCGCGCGCCGAAGCCGCATCCCTTTCCCTCTTCCTCCTTATGGCGGCGTCTTCTCTCTCGATGACCCCTTGGCACCATACTTTCGCCTTGTCCAAGGGATCTAGATGGTCAACGCCCGTCCCCGCCAGCGCTTTTTCGAGCGGCACGTCTAACATTGCTTCGATTTTGGGTTTGCGAAAGCAAAGAACTGCGGGCCACGGGGCTGTTGAACTTGGGCCAACAAGCGGGGTCCTCTTCCCATCTGCCCTTTGCTCAAATGGTTTCTTTTGGAGGAAGTGTATATTTAGCCAGGAACAGCCGTCCAGCAATGAAGGCGACATCCCGCTCATTTGGAGCAATTTGCAACAAGTTGTTTTCAGCTGCACAAACTTGTCGCTATGATCCGACCTGAAGCGGCTGACTTGCGTCTCTGGTGATTGGCCGTAACCCCCATCTGCGACCTGGTTTTCTGTATCAACGACGCTTTGGAAAGCCCCAAATGTCCCGAAAGGCGCGGCGAGAACGGTTGGACCGGCGTGTAACAAACTCGATCGCAAGACATCGGCAGAAGAAACCAGACCGTGGAGGACGGACACATGGAGGGCAATGACGAGCGACCCTGTAGTGGTTAAGTATATTCGAAACGTGGCGAGAGCCGAACTCCGGGGCGCTTGGTTCCAGTTGGCATCACCAGGGTTGAATACCTGCGGGGGCAGCAGTGCGGAACGGTTGTTCAAAAGGATGGCGCCGACGTTGCGACAAAACGATGACGTTAGAGATGACAAGACGGCAGTGATGAAAAACTCATGGATCTCCTGCGCAGGAACCGACCCATACCCTTTAACATCGCCGACCGGGGTTGATGCGACTTTGCCATCTACGACCACCGGGGTAGGAGGGAAGCTGAAGGGCTGGTTGGCCCTCGAGTTCATGTCTAGGGCAGAACTAGCAGAAGACGAGCTGTTTGGTGTGTTGATCGCGTTTGTTCCCGGCGGTCTGTTTTTCAGGAGCCCGATGGGTTCCAAGTTTCCATCTCCAACGAGGCCTAAGGGGTAGCCGCATACCTCCATCCTCGCGTGAAGACCAAGCCGCTCAGAGTGACTTGGAGCGGCGGAGTCGCCGGAGGAGAGGTAGAAGCACCATATGCCGCGCCGAACGGCGTCCATGTACACCAAGTGGCCATCGCTACGCAGAGCATCCTCGACACCACTGGCATTAAAAGTATATGTCGAGGATTGGGCGGCGATGGGTTCGTATATACGGAAAGAGATTGCGGACAGGTTACTCTGCGTGGGGTTATGTTATGTCAGCGTCACGGCCTCAAGGTAGATGGGTGGCTTGAGTTAGCCTTGGGGCAACGTCTTACGATCAACAAATTGTTTGTCTCATAATCCCCTGCGTCCATATCGGAGGATATGCCGCGCAAAGCGTGGGCTCGAGGATCGGGCGGTCATCCACCGAGGACGGGGGTTGAAGGCACGAGTTTAGGAGGAGCCGGCGCATACGGACGGAAGGTTGCGCTTATCGGTACTCGGGTGGAGGCGTGACGTCGGGGGGTTGTGCGGTTTCTTCCCAGCAAAAGAGGAGTGTTTGGATCGAAGGTCTCGTGCTCTATGCGCCAGGCTGCCGAACTCCATGGCAGCGGGCGATGTTATAATCGAGCCAAGCTCCGCGAATCACGAGTGGCCTGCTGCGAGAGGCATCCGAACTATGGACGAAACGAAACGCTGGGAAGTCGCGAGGGCCGGTCGTGGGTCGCAAATGGAATACAGCAAATGTGTCAATTCAACGCCCGGGAAGAACGGGGCACGGTTCGCGATGCACGAGTTTCGATGTAGCGAGCAGTAAAGTTGATGCGATGATGCGGAAGCAAGCTTGTGTCGGAGGGTGTCTGGTGCAACTTCAGGCACTTCTTACGTTGTTCCACTGAAGGAGCGAGATCAACAAGTCAGAGGGTCCAGTTGCGCCAAGGCCCCCGCGAGCAGGGGTGGCACATGGGAGTCCGCCTCGAAGAAAGAATTGGGGGTTTTCTTCCTCAGCCAGAAACAAGTTAAACAAGTCCAATATCCGACTAAGTTCTCAAAATATGACCATCCCGTATTTGTTGATTACCTACTCATAAAATCGTAATTTTGAGGATACCGTAAGACAAGAATACAATCCATGAGCAGACACTGTCTCCAACTTCAATTCAAGAACGGGCCGAAGAAGTAAGGCCCCACATCACGGAATCTCCCGGCCCTGCACAGAAATGGAACTGGAAGGTCCAGGGATCTTTCAGTTCACCCGGCCTCTCCCCGCCTTCCGTTTTGAGAGGGCGGTCGAAACTTTTTGGTTTTCTGCCTTCGACATCCAGAGCTTGCAGCTTGCGACTCGAAATTTCTTGTCCGAGCAATACCATCATCCACCATGAAGTTGACAAATCCGGGGACAGTTCCTGTGTAAGTATCAAATGCCTTCGACTTTTTGGCTGACTTTCGTAATGTGATAGAAGTATCACTGACGAATGGGCGCAGATACACTGTCGCTGGGCCTTCGACGGCCAGGCCGCTGCCAGATTGGCTTGCGCGCCGTAGGAAGAGATCATCCAAGTACGACCCCGAGAACCTCAATAACTTCGAGTTGCTTCAAGAATTTGAGTTTGAGGAAGGCAAGTCACTCCCCACCTTGTGTCTAGTTTGATTGCTCGCGCGGATCCTAACTCGCGTGGAATAGCCAGCAACTGCGTCCGAATCAGCGAAGATGGCAACTGGATCATGAGCACAGGGACATACAAACCCCAATTCCATGTTCACTCGACGCAAGAGTTGTCCCTGTCATTTTCCCGCCACACGAAATCCGAGAACACGACGTTCCTCTTCCTCGGTTCCGACTACACCAAAAGTTTACACCTACAGAGCGACCGGTCGCTGGAGTTCCACACGCCAATGGGATGCCACTATGAGGTTAGACTCCCGCGGTTTGGCCGCGATCTTGCATATCTGCGCCAGAGTACCGAAGTGCTCATCCCGTCGGTTGGGTTGAGTGCAGATGGGTCCGGTTTTGGCGAGGTCTTCCGCTTGGACTTGGAGAGGGGACAGTTTCTTCGGCCCTGGCAGATTGACGTCGGCAAAGACGCAGACGCGAGCGGGTTGCAGGGGGGCATACATGTCGGATCTGTCAACGTGGCAGCGGTCGCGGAAAAGACACATGGTCTCTGCGCGTTTGGCACATCGATCAGCACAGTCGAGTTCTACGACCCGCGAAGCAAAGGGAGGGTGGCTGTTCTTGGGGGCCATGATGGCGAGGTTACCGCGTTGGACTACAATGACGACGGGTTGTCGCTTGCTCTAGGTACAAGCACCGGCCAAATCCGCGTGTTTGACCTGAGAAACCCGCGCCCTCTCATGAAGAGGGACCAGGGGATGGGACTCCCGGTCAAGAATCTAATTCACTTAAAGACGCCTACCGAAGAGCGCAAGCTTCTTTCGGCCGATAAGCGAATCATCAAAATCTGGGATGAGCACACGGGGGATCTTTGGACATCGGTCGAGCCGTTGGTTGAGCTGAATCATGTCACTCATATTCCAGACTCAGGCATGATCTTGACTGCGAATGAGGTATGTTGTCAGGGATCAATAACCTACACACGATGCAGTTCGCTAACACAACATCACAGGGCAAGCATATGCACTGCTTCTTCATCCCCAACCTGGGATTGGCCCCGAAGTGGTGCCATTTCCTAGACAACCTAGTCCATGAGATGGAAACCGAGACGCAAACCGAGACATACGACAACTACAAGTTCCTCACAAAACCGGAGCTCAAGGCGCTCAGCCTGGACCACCTTATTGGGAAGACCAACCTGCTCCGGCCATACATGCACGGTTACTTTGTTGCTGCTAAGCTGTACGATCAAGCTCGCCTCATCGCCAACCCATACATCTGGGAAGAGGAGCGAGCCAAGAGAGTCAGGGAAAGGGTTGAGAAGGAGCGTTCCACTCGCATCAGAGGAGTCAAGAAAGTCAAGGTCAACCAGAAGTTGGCGGACAAGATTCTGCAACGGCAAGAGAGGAGAGCCAAGGTGGACATCGAAGCTGGCGTTCTCGGTGATTCTCGTTTCGGCAAGATCTTCGAGGATGAAGAATTCAAGGTCGACGAAACCAGCTATGAGTTCCGAGCGCTCAACCCCAGCACCAGGGTGGATGGAGCCCCGGAGCAGGATACGCGTTTCGCCGCCAACTCAAGCGACGAGGAGAGTGACGAAGAGTCCGGGTCAGAGATCAGGAAGACCAAGGACGACGTGGTCATGCAGGTATCCTCTTCGACGACAAAAGGTGGGAAAATCAGGGACACAGCGATCGGCTCGAGGGCTCAAAAGCAAACACGCACCGCAAAGAGTCGGACGAACGAAGTTGTTGGAGAACAACAAGTCACATTTGTGCCGGAATCTAAAAAGAAGAGCAAGCCGCAACCAGCGCCGGCACCCAGCAGGCGCCAAGACAGCCGGAGGAGCGCAAGCACCAACACCTTCCGCCGGTTATAGACGCCTCGTACACTCCCATCCAGACCCTATATTATACAAGCAAATTCGTGGTATCTCGGGGTTCATTCCCTTTGTACATCAACATCACAGCCATGATTCCCATGCCCCTGGTCACCAAATGTCCTTTCTGATCCCGGCGCTACCTCCTCTCCTACCCCCGGCGGGCAATCCATCTCCCGGCATCTTCCGTTCCAGCATCTCACTTCCGGCTGAAGTTCGCGCGCTTCTTCTTGGGCTTGTCAAGGCCTTTCTCCAGATCCAGGTACTCGGGCTTGATCCTCGGCGTCGGCGGCACATCGTCCAACCTGTTTCGTCCTTCCTTGACTGACTTGGGGAATTCGGATCGCCGCGGCGTCAGGACGGTGACCACCTTTCTTGCCGACCTCCTGATTGTTTCTCGGACTGTCCACTCGCGTTTCTTGGCCACAAAGAAGAGGACTGAACTGGCGACTGTAGCGGGGAGGGTTGGTTAGGTCACTGCAGCGAATTGGCGGGAATCGATCGATCAGACTTACTACCAACGAGTGCTACCACGACTACCACGATTATGATGGCGATCATGGCGCCTTGGGAGAGCACCACCCCGCCGGTCGAGGGGCCGGCCGCACCGGCGGTGGTACCGTCGATTGTTCCGCCAGGCCCATCGTGGCCATCTGCGGCGAGAGGAAAATTGTCTGTGTCCGCCATGTCGTTTCTGTGTGACGGTTCGTCTACTGGATTGCTTGAAAGTGTACCGTCTCCAGAGACAAGTCGAGTCGACTTACAATGAGGTAGGACAACAAAACGAGCGACCGCGGGACCAGCTGCGGCGTGTGTGTGTGAGAATCAAATGAGGGAACTTGAAATGGGAAACAGGGAGGAAAAGGAAAGTGTGCGGTTGTGCCGCTAGTATGTGATAGGCGAGTATATAGGACGGGCCGCTGGTGTCATTCGAGGGAACCCAGGCCAAGAGGGTGAGACGGGCGACTGGCCAAACACCAGATTCTAGCGTCGTTACAGCACCAAGCCCAAGACATCGCCCTCCACCTCTGGTCCTATAACAGCCTCCAATATGACCGACCCCGCGGAGCCCTTCGCCTATCCTCCGCTCCCTCAAAGCGGCTTCCCTATCACCTGTGATGACCTGATGCTGTCACCTCCCTGGAACCCGGTCCGTATCTGCAGCGCTCGTCACCCCTCGGCACTTGCGCGGCACACAATTGGACCACCCCCCCTCCCCTTGATGAACAAAGTTTGAGACCCAGCGCCCATCACCTCACCGCACCTCTCACCCATCCCGCGCCTCCCATTGGGCCCGTGCCGTGATCTCACAAGCGCCCGCCCATGTGGTGGCACAGAAGCCCAAGCAACGGTCGCACGAATCGGGAGTCGGTTGCCAGGGGTGGTTTCCTCAAGCCGTCCCCTGTCCCCTGGTGACTGGTCCGTCTCGGCGATGCCAAGACTGAGTTATGCAGGGGATGACGGGATGAAATAGGCCAATCAGCGAGGGGCGATGTGCGCGGCGGCGGCTCGACGGTGGGGGCGATTGGAGGGTCGGCCGCACGTCACATCGTGACTTCGGTTTTTGGGTTTTTGGGGTTTTTGGGTCGGTCCAATGCGTGTGATGGATTTGGAGTGGATGGGAGGGGATGGGGACTGAGGGGTTTGGGTCTGGGTCTTTTGGACCCTTTGAGGAGTGGCCGGCTGGGGTGTGAAGAAGTGAATGGAGGTGTCGTTATGGCACAGTTCCGGGACGCGCTTGCAGGACTGTATCGTGCATGGAGGGATCTGGGTGGGCAAGGTACCTGAGTTTGGGTTTGTGCGAAAGGGGGTGACGCAGTTTGTGATACTACCGACTTGGACAATCTTGATGGAAAGGAACGTTAAGTAGAGTCGGGTTTATAATACCAAAACAATGACGGATAGGGTTGAGAGAAGTTATCCTTTTGTTCGTCCAACAAAAAGATAGAGAAAGCGCCGGTGGTAGGGGAGATTGATTTGCTTACCTGCAAGTTGTGGTTCGAGGCTGGTTATTGTTCGATGATGCTATTGAAACTCGCATACGTACCCCTGGGCCGGGCAATGATTGCCCCAAATCCTCTCTTGGAGAGAGGCCACGATGCTCTTTTAACGGGACATATCTACCTACATCTTTTATTTCTTTTGCCAGAGGATCCAATAAGGGCCACTGCTGTAGAGCCAGTTGCCTGATCCGCTTATCAAGGCGGGGTGACCTATATGGGAGCCGCCGCAGCCAACGGCCCCCGTGTGTCGTCCCAGAAATCCTCACGCGGCTCTGAGGGTAACCCAGTCTGGGAATCGAACTGTTAGCCTCACAGGTTACAGAATGACTTTTGCGGCAGTCCCTAGGTACTGCCAGCCAGGCCACCAGCGGTCTCCTTTTGTTGGAAAGATGCTTCGTAATTCATGGCTATAACATCGTGAAAGCATTCCATCCCAACGCCCACTGTGTCAACACCCAACTCAGGTTTGAGAATCACCACAACCAATCGCAAGCACCTTACTAATCAAACTACTGGACTCAATGTTTCTTGGCCGCGTTGAACTGGGTTGTCTGACCTTAGGACTGTCATATCTATATTCCTTGTTTGTGCTTAACCGCGTCCTGTCTTGGGCCAACACCACTCTACCTATCCAGGTAGATAGGGGATCCTCGGTTCATGGTTCCCAGAAAGATTATCCGGACTACCTACTTATGACCACCTTAGGTAAACTCATTCAAAATATTCCAATAACTTATCCGCCGTAACTTTTAAAAAAGTGTGGCCCGGAGAACCTTAACAGGAAAAGGTGGTTAAGCTACCGGAAGTTCTTGTCCAGGTAAGTGAAGTGCCCTTGAAAAGACTGGAAAAGATGTCACTGCAGGGCGGCTTAAGAGACAGACCGGGAACATGTCTGCAACGATGTACTTGCACATAATGCAGGCGCGAACCGCCCATACCAGGCACCCCCTCGCCTCCTCGGTGGGAAGGCGCGATGGACGAAGCGCAAGCACTTTGATGCCCACCATTTGTGTCATTTACTTTGACTTTTGAACCGATTATCATTCCTGTGATTTGAACCTTGAACCCTTCCCCGCCGGATTCAACCGTGACACCCCCCCCCCCCGGGAGTTGCTCTTTAGAGTTACTGGCTTCTTCTTTTTCTTTTTGCCTCGTCTTCACCACGAACTTTTCGACAGAGGTAAACGTCAGACCTTGGCCACAACGCCATGGCACATTCGTCGCCGGGGCAATCCCGACCGCTCGATTCCGTCGATCGATTTCCGACGGCAGACAGCCTAAACGATCCCACAAAGACCTTCGAGTGCCACGATGAGGATCCAGCCCTGTTATTCGAACAGCAAGAACCGCTTGATATTTCACAGTCGCCTCCAAAAACAAATAACAAATGTCATCATGACCTTCCCGCAGAAGAGACGGACGACTACAGGGATTCCCATGACTCAATGCTGTTAGAAAAACCATCAAGCCTTTCCAAACACCTAGACCTGGGTAAAGGGTATGCATACGGTCCTGCAGTACAGTTTGCCCCTGGTTTCTTCACGAGCATGCCGGGAAAGCAGGCCGCGAAGCAAGCCCCTATCCGCCAAGAAGCCCACTCCCATTACTTGGACAACCCTCCATCCGGCCCAACCCGAGGAGCCGGCAGTCTTCGGCCGTCTTTTTCTTCAATCGGTAGCGAGCCGAGAGCAAGTACCAGTAGCAACCTTCTCGCTGTCAGATCACCGGATCAAGCAGAGCCTCTGACAGCAAGCCACAGCCCTAAGGTAGATGGTCCCAACAGTTCTGATAAATGGGGGGTAAGGAGGGACATCCCACTTATGGCCAGAGCCCCCCCTTTTTCAGACACATCTCCCAAAGAGCTCACACGGCCATTCAACCAAGCACCGACGGTTCGGGTTGAGCGCAACCACCCGGGTGTTCCTGACAAGGAGAAAGCGACTCAGATTTCAGCCCCGGCCAAGGGATCATCGTCCGATGCGGAAGCACATAGGTCCCCACCAGCAGCACGGAATCACGATCACGCAATCCCGCATTTTGGATCTCCCTCCTGCAATCCACAAGAGCTACTCACGGACGAGGCGGGCAAGGAAAGAAGGCAGTCTCACCCCCCTCTCGTACCACCAACGGGTGGCTCTCGCCGCTTTCCGGGGGAATCCGCAGACCGAACTCAGAACCATATGGTAAATCGGCCGGTAAAAGATATTGCACATGTTGGGTTGACGAAAGCGATCCACCGGGTTCGCCCGGTTTCCCGGAGCTCCAACGTGTCTAAGCAAAGGTTAGCTTCCTTGTATCTTATAAGACACCAAATACTAATCGTCGAATAGGTCGAGATGTGGATCTCTGGCTTCCAGTCCAGTCATACGACAACGGAGAGCCAACATTAGCCATGAGTTTACAACTGGAATGGCCGGTGTCATCAACCAGTTTACACAGCAGCAGAGCGCTGCTCTTGAGGAACAGAAATCGAAATACCACAAGTACATCAAGCGGCTTAAACGGGATCTTGCGGATGGATCTGGGGTAATCGCTCAGCAAATTTCCCAAATCGACTCTCAGGCAAGCCAAATTAATAGCTTGCGGGACTCGCAAGAACATATGATGGGTCAACTGAAAGACATTGAAGCTAAGCTGGGGGCATCCGAAGACCGCGGCCGGAAACTGGAAGAAAAGTACCGCGCCTGCAAAACACACCTCAACTCTGCCATCAAGGAGCAACAAGATCTGTACACTCGTTCTAAGAAGCATTGGGGGGACACGATTGAGCAAGTACGTGCCATGGAGAAATCCCAAAGTTCTGAGACGGAAGCCGCTGTTCGGAAAGCGGAAGTGATCAGAGAGCAGATGATGGAGAAAGTACGCCAAATCATCGCCCAGAACAAGAGCGAATCATCAGAGTGTGAGTAATGCAGCATTGCGAGCCCGCACGTGGAAACTAACCCCCCGGTTAGTGTACGAACAGATAAATTCCCTCAAGCAGCAGATCGAGGAGAAAGAAGCCGAGCTAGGTCAGGAGCGGGAATCTGTCCGTTCCTTGTCTGAAAGGCTGCAGGATCTTCGAGCTACCTCGAGTGGTTTCGAGGAGTTGGCTTTACAGGGGAAGGAGATTCTGCGAGAGCTGGGAGAACAACACGCAAAGGCGGAAGAGCATCGCAACAAGTCCGCAGAGGAGTTGCAAAAAAGGTTGGTTTTACTGCCCCCAAGCCTAAGGTTGATGACTGATGTTGCCTTGGTAGGCTTAATGTGATTGCCACTCGCCTCCAGACACTTTCCGATATCATGTCTGGGCAGCCGGACGCCATGTGCGGCATTCGGGAGGCCCAGGATGAATCACTGAATATGTGAGTACCTCTCAGATCAACATAAATTATCTATCCGTAACTAACTTCAAAAAGCGTTACGGCTAAGCTCGACAGTATCCTGGAGTCGCGAGTTGCGGCTGCGGACGCCGCCGGCCAATTGTCGGCCGACCTTGAACTTCATACAGGGAAAATATGGCAGCGCCTGGATAGTCACCTCGAATCACTGAGTAAGCAGCTCGCAGAGAAAGCAGAAGAGAATGGCATGGTGTCCACACTCTACAAAAGGAAGGACGCCGAATGCGAGGAGCACTTGAATGAGCTCGCAATGTTGAGAGCGACCACAGAGAAGCAAGCGGACCAGATTCATGAACTGGAGGCCAGCTTGGTTGTCTCGGATGCAGCCCAGGACCAAAACGAGGAGACAATTCGACGGCTGGATGAGCGAGCCACAGAGACGGAGCGGCTAAGAGAAGAGGTCAACTCCAAAACGGCTGCCGTGGCCGAACTACAGCGCAGACTCGATACCAAAGAGGCGGCATTTTCTTCTGAACTCCAGAACTGCAGTTCAAACATCCAAAAGCTCGCTAATGCACTTCAGGAGAAGGACCAGTTCTTGAACACCGCGGCCCAGCAAGCAGCTGAAGCAGCTCGCCAGGAAATGCGACACGAAATGGAGAAAGCCCACGCAAAAACCGAGAAATCTCTTCAAGAAACAATAAAAGACCGGGACTCCTTGGCTTCTCAGATAGAAGAGCTCAAACGACAGGTTCAAGAAAAGGAGACAAGCCAGTCTCGGGATGCTGCCACAATGCGTTTATTGCAAGAGAATCTTGCACTGGAGGAAGAGAGAGGCAAACTGGCAACTGAGAAACTCACACAACGTTTGACTGATCTTGAAGAGGTGGAAAATAAACTAACAGCGCGGCTAAAAGCCTTGGAGATAGAGCTTAAAGCGGCCAGTGATCGAGCAGTTGGCTTGAAGGCCGAAAACCAGCGCCAGCACACCAGGTCCGAAACGCTCATTTCCGGTCTGAAGCGTTGGGCTCAGCGAGCAGGGCTTTTTGCAAATGGGTTAGACAACCTCGGCGACAGCCATGAAAATGTCGAGAAAATCACCGAGATCCTGACGCGTACTCTGGGGCCTTTGTCGGTTCGCCTGGACGCACGAACTGGTAACCCGAATGTGAGCCTAGGTGATTCACTACTTGGCAGAGAGGACTCAAAGTTTTTCTCGAGCCAGAATAACCAGCCCATACCGGAAGATCTCAGCACCCACACTGGAATTGACCCCATTATGGAAGGCGGCAAAGGTGACGCGATGGCGAAACATCTAGGGACCGATGACGCCACAGAGGGTACGCTTGATAACGACCCGTTGCCGTACGCATCTAGACTGCATCACATGAGGCGCGTTGTTGTCCGCAGCCCGGCAAATGTGCCGAATGAGCCGGCCGCACCTTCAATCGACCAGGAGAAGATGCGTAGAAGAGGGGGGACGCAACCGAAGTCTATCATGAAGCGTGTTACCAGAAGCACGTCCGGCATGCTGAGGCAAGGGGGAAACAATACAGCTGCTAACCAAGGGGCGTTTAAAAGAAACAGAAAAGACGAGCTTTCCAATGGCCCGGCCCTTGCTCACGAACTCGAGGGCATACGCGGCGACACCAAAGCCATTTCAGCACCCGAAGCAGAGGCAGCCGAGGACACAAGCGGGGCATTTCCAGAGCGGCCTTGCAAACGGAGACGTTCGGAAACGGCAAGACCTGATAATTCGGCGACCTTCAAAAGCGCCGGGCAAGACATGAAAGGGAACTCATCCAGGCCGGTCCCGATTTCCAATGTCGAAGCGGTGGACCGGAAGGATGAGGTCTCAATCGTGGCCCAAAGCAAGGGACGACGTCAGGAAAATCAGCCTAACACGAGCAGTTCTCACGATCTTCTCAAGCCCACATCAGTCCGTAACTCGCGGACATATTCAGGGTCCAACTCACAGGGCCTGCATAGAGTACCGTCAGCAAACACCCGCAGGGCTTTGGGCTCAAGACAAACGAATGTGCGGACCTATGGCTCACAAAGGGCGGCCGGGGGACATTCGACGGAGGGTCAATACACAGAATCCCGCTTTCCGCTACGGCCACAGCCACAGTCTCGGTACTGGCCGCCGAAGCTGAAGGAGGAGCCGCAGGATTCGAAGACTTTCTCACAGGGTATCGTTACTAACGAGAATTTGTTAGTTCCCTTCCGGAACTGAATTGCTTGCTTGGTCTTGGGGTCGATGGCTTCCCATAATTTGCTTGATTATCTTGGAGGGCCAACTTCCCCATGTTCAAGGATTGTGTGGTAGGTACGTTTAGTCGGCCGTGTTTGTTGATGTAAAATGGGGAGGGAGAAAACTGAAGGGAAATACAAGAGGTAGACCGAAACGAAAAAAAGTTGATATGTGTCGCGGTGAGATTTGTAATCTTGGAGGTTATATAAAACCAACACTTTCACGATTGCCGACCTACCATTGTGATCCCCGAACCGTGTATGCGAACAGGAACGAATATACCCTCCCATCGGTCCGTTCAGGGTCCAACACCAGATCGACTAGGCGATATAGATCTTGGAAAAAGGAAGAATCCGCCGCGATGCCGAGGTCTTGAGATAATGTTTAGATTTAGTCCGTCTCCCAAACCCTAAAAACGCCGGCCATGCTGTCATGGTGTTTTTTGTACTGTACACTGGCGAGTCCTGGTATAATACATGCCCTCGGAGGGTCGTGTCACGACGATTGCTGTGCCCTCCTAGGCTCGAGTCGGGTCGGGCAAGCTCAGTGCCCTTTTTTCCCCATTCATGTGGTTTCCCCCGCCCTTCTCCTCGAGCCCCTTGCCTTCGCTCCCCGTCTTGCGAATTTCGATCATTTACCCTTTCGTTTTTGCTCGAGAAATAGGACTCTCCTCCGGACTGTTTGGACACGCGGGCGTTAGCAATTCGCCCTTCGTTTGCCTGGATGCTACCTCTCTTTCATTCCCGAGCTGTCCTTGACTGTATTCTTTTGGGGATTCGGAGGAGGGGTGTTCAATGGGGGGATATGGATTTCGGGCGGGGGGTTCGTACTGATAGGGTCGTATTTGATCATGCTCATGGGCAGGGCCGTCCGCGCGCGGGTGAAGGTGTAGAAGTAGCCCGTCATGGCCATGGAGAGGAGGCGCACATTGATAATGCGTGACTTGGCTGATGCATTTTTTGTTAGTTTTGAGCTTGGGGTTTGTGGCTGGGCAGGACGTACCCTTCTTTGCCATCTTGAACTGGTTGGCTGGTGTTCTGGCGCGGCCACCCCTCGTTACTTTGGCTGGTCTGGGAGCGAGCGCTGTCGTCGTCGTCGTCGAGGCCGGCGGATTCGAGGTTTTGCGGTTCCGAGCTGCAAGAACCCTTGACCGGCGGGAATACCAATGCGCACGGGCCAGACTACCGGCGTGGGGTCAGGCCCCCTCCATCTCTCAATCGCAGGCGGTCTTGATCCGGAGTTTAACCACGAATCGTCAAACAACCTTGCATCGAGCCGACGAAGTATGAGTCGACCAATTAGCCTTACCGAAAGCGAGTCTAGAAGCCGGGTCCATTAGTGGTTCATTTTGTTGGTTTGTTTGAGGGGCGACTTTCAGGTTAACAACTTGAAAACTGGTCCAAAGGTTGCCTGTGATCGTCTTGGCAAATCGAAAGCCTTAACACACAAGCCACGCAACTAATCGGTTTGGCTGACGATATGCGGCCTCGACAACGACAGGCGCCAAAGTCACGCGGGACACAGATGTCGGCAAAATATTGTCCGACTTCGCTGGCCGCTCGGGCGTGGGTGACCTAAAGGAAGACGTTTACAGGCGTCCACAGGTGTCACACCGCCCGCGTAATCTCCATTTTCGGAGCCACGCCGCCCGAAAAACACAATAACTAGGAGCCTGTCCGGCCCCTTCCGGTCATGCTAGAGAATGTTATCAGATTTATTTCCAGACACATCTTCTGATACATTCGAAATGAAAGTCATAAGTTAATCGCTGGTATGTCACAGGAAGAGGCACAATTGGGTCTGGCGCCAATGAGCTAACAGCGTTGTTGGCGGAACCCCCACAGCCCATACGCCACACCCAACCTTCTCTTGCGCCTCCACTTCTCCAACTTTTTTCCTCTCACTCTCGAAACTTACTGCTAGATGGCGCCGTTGCTCAGGCAGTTTGCCCGCAGTGGCACGACAGTGAAGCGCTCGGCATTAAGGCATGGCGTGGGGTCCATGATCCCAGGCCAGGAGTTGCAAGGTCCAATCTGCCGAAGAGGTAACAAATAGTTTCTTGTCTCTTTTGTAGTGCTTTCTAGGTTGTTCTTATCCCCCCGCGCTTGGTTTGCCTCTATCTGTTCATACCTATCTGAACACCCGTACTTACCTAGCAACCGATTTGGTTGTTGCGGCGTATGTTGTTTCCCCTGACCCCTGAAACATCAAATGGCAGCCGCCGCTCGCAAGGAAGCCGGCGGGCGCCCACGCCCGGTTTCGGCCTGCGGCGGCCCAACCCAACATTAGAAACACAGTGTTTCCGGGATGGCCCGCTCAGGCAAACTCATGTCAGTCGGGTGACAGGAGACATTTATTGCACACGGATGCGCTGATTACGTCGGGCTGGGCTGGGTACCCTCCTGTAGCCTAGCATACCCGGTCGTCTCATCAGTCATCTTATTCCCTTTCATCCTGTTTTACGAGTTTATTACCCTCGTTAGTTTCCTACCCTCGACCACCTCTTCTTCGAGCGTCTCTCTTATCCAAGTCGAGAAGCACTTCTCCACCTAAACCACGTTATTGTAACCCCTCAACCTCGGCCGTGGAACCTGGCTCGACTCACGACAACACACACCACCCTGGCTCCATTATACCTATTTCTCTAACAATCCACTCTTCTTCCCGCAGCCTTTTCCGGCTCAACCGTTGCAGCCCCGCTATCCTACTCTACCATCCCGCTGCCGAATCGTTCAGGCCGCGGCTTTTCACCCGTCTTCAGGAGCATACCGTCTCGGCAACAACGCACCATGGCGTCCAACTCGGGCCGACGGCTCAACATTGACAACATTAACCAGCACATCGTGTCGGCCAAGTACGCTGTGCGTGGTGAGCTGGCCGTCAAGTCGGAGGAGTACCGCGCGGCCCTGCATAACGGAGCGACCGATCTCCCCTTCAAGCAGGTCATCTCGGCCAACATCGGCAACCCGCAGCAGCTCGACCAAAAGCCCATCACCTTCTTCCGCCAAGTCCTCAGCATCCTCGAGAACCCGACCCTGCTCGAGAAGAGCGATGTGTTGGTGAATCACCTAGGCTATAAGCCCGATGTGCTTGAGCGTGCCAAGAAGCTGCTTGCCGCGGTTGGCTCTGTGGGTGCCTACAGTGCTAGCAACGGCGCTCCCGCCATCCGTCAAAGCATCGCCGACTTCCTCGAGAGTGAGTGCTTTTTATGTCTCATACGACAGCTGCTCAACTAGAGCGAGGCTAATGCAAGTACAGGGCGTGATGGCTTCCCTGCCAACCAGGCTGACATCTACCTCTCGGCTGGTGCTTCCTCGGGTGTCAACACCCTCTTGCATGTCATCTGTGCCAATGAGAAGTCCGGCATCCTCGTCCCCATCCCCCAGTATCCCCTGTACACCGCCTCCCTCTCGGTCCTGAACGCCGCCTGCGTGCCGTACCTCCTGGACGAGCAAAAGAACTGGGGCACCGACCTGGCCACCATCAAGGCCGCCCACGAGAAGGCCGAGGCCGAAGGCATCGACGTGCGTGCCATCGTCATCATCAACCCGGGCAACCCGACGGGCGCCTCGCTTTCCGAGGAAGACATCCGCGCCGTCATCGAATTCGCCCGCGAGAAGCGGCTTGTAATCCTCGCCGACGAGGTCTACCAGACCAACGTCTTCGTCGGCGAGTTCATCAGCTTCAAGCGCATGCTGCGGCAGCTACAACGCGAGCAACCGGGCGCCTACGACTCGGTCGAGCTCGCCTCGCTGCACTCCGTATCCAAGGGCATGACGGGCGAGTGCGGCCACCGCGGCGGCTACTTCGAGCTCGTCGGCTTCGACCCGCTCGTCCAGGGCCGAGATCTACAAGTTCGTCTCCATCATGCTCTGCGCCCCCGTCATCGGCCAGTGCCTCGTCGAGCTGATGGTCAACCCCCCGCGGCCTGGCGAGCCCTCCCACGAGCTCTACGCCCGCGAGTACGACGGTATCTTTGGCGGCCTGCGCGAGCGCGCCACCGCCCTGCACAAGGCCTTTGAGCAGATGGAGGGCGTCGAGTGCGGCGCCCCGCAGGGCTCCATGTACCTCTTCCCCACCATCACCCTGTCGGCCAAGGCCGCCGAGGCCGCCGCCGCCGAGGGCCGCACCCCGGACGAGTTCTACTGCATGCGCCTGCTCGAGGCCACGGGCGTGTGTGTCGTGCCGGGGTCCGGCTTCGGCCAGAAGGAGGGCACCCTGCACTTCCGGACCACTTTCCTCGCGCCGGGGACGGAGTGGGTGGGGAGCATTGTCAAGTTCCATGCTGAGTTTATGGAGAAGTATCGTTGAGTTTAGGCGGGTGTGGGTGGTTTGGAAAAAGGGGAAAAGATCTTGGGGGCGGGGCGGCGGGTGTATGTGTGTGCTTGGATGAAGCAAGGCGTTTGTGTTGGTTGGTTGGTTGGACCTCAAAAAAAAAAGAAGAATTACGGCATAGTATTCTTTTTCATAAACGGAGCAGAGCATCGCATAGCATAGCATTGCGTGCCTTGGTTTAGTTTTTAGATGAGCGTCGGGCTTGGGTTGTGCTGCGGACGAGGAGAGAAAGAGACTCTTGTTCCGTCTGCTCAGTTTTGGGTTGCCTGTCTTGCTTTGGTTGCGAGCATGTCTTGAGTTCTGCCAGTAGGACATCGTTGGTTTCACGTTTGGGCACCAAGATAGCTCATGGGAGGGTGCATTCTTGCCTGCATTCACAGATCATCTCTCGGAGAAACACCGTTCTACCCTCCTAGTTAGGTATCATACAATCAATGCTCTCAACTCTTTCTGGGTACGGTCATTCATCAGCGACGGACGGGCAAGCTACCGTCTTCTTGGCATTGGTTGTGCTTGTTTTGATTGTCATGTATCTACAACTCCCCGCCAGCGATTCCTCCCCATCTACGCCCTCTCACTCCCTCTCAACCGGACCGCCTGCCCGTACTTTTGCAGTTTGGTGATCAGCTGGTCGCCCTGGCGCACCACGTCCTGGTACTGCTTGTTCTTGTCGTCGGGTCGGTTCGTCTCGATGACGCCGTGGCCCGCGACGCGGTCAATGGTGCAGGGAATGCGGCCGGCGGCGATGAACTTGGCGAGATCGCTGGTGGGATAGGAATGTTAGCATACAATTTCCACACAGAGGCATTGTCATTGCTAGGTTAGGGAAAGACAAGCGGCGGCTTACCGGTCCAAAAAGTCCACCGTCACGCCAAAGTCGTTGGCCATGCTGTCGAGCCCGACCACGCGGTAGCTCTGCAGAAGCTGCTGGTAGGCACGGAGGCGCATCTCGCGGATGAACCAGCCTTTGTGCTCATGCAGGTAACGGTCCTGTGTGAGGAATTGCTCCTCGACGAGCGCCAACGCCTGGAAGAAGAGCTTGTATCGGCCGTTGTACAGGCTGCTCACGAGCTGCGCGAGCGGGCCGAAGTCGACCGCCATTTCCGCCTCGGGCTGGTCGACGCTAGTTCCCAGGGTAGTGAGATTCACAGCTGTGATCTTAGCACTCGAGGGAGCCGCACTGGCGTCCTGCATCTCGGCGTCGACGCCAGGCCCCGCGGAAATAGCACCGGTCAGTGCGAGTAACTTATCCTCACCATCGCCCAGAATCGCCCTGATTTCGGGGGCGTCAACGACCTTGGACTTGAAATCGACGCGCTTGAGCGAGACGGAGCCGGCGAGCACCGCGTAGATGACCAGGTTGCTGTAGCTGCAGAGCTCGTACGAGGTAAAGGTCGACAGACTGTCAAGCAGGAGCGGGGCCGCAAGGTTGTAGCTGCGGGCCGTCAATAGATACAAGCCCTCGTAGGCCTTAAGGCGGTTCCGTCGGTCCCAGTCACCACCGCTCTCTACCAGCGCCTTGGCGCGCTCGACGTGCTTCTTGACGAGGTGCTTGTCGCCATAGAAGAGGCCCATGCGGATGATGGCGAGGACCAGGTCGATTTTAGTGCCTAAAATGCCCGTATTCTCGAAGACATCTTCGTATGCCGCGATGGCTTTGTCCTGTAAGATGACTACGGTTAACTCGGGTTTTGTATTATGTATTGTTTGGCCTGCGCACCTTGTCGCCCACCCTGGCCCAGAACTCGGCTCTCTTGCCCCGCGCAGCCTGGATCTCCGTCTCACCGGCTTGCTCCACAGCGTCATCCTCCTCCTTTTGAAACTGTTCCAGCTCTTTATCATTATCGGCCTGCAGCGACTGGTACAGGGCCTCGTCCCAAGGCAGGTTTATGCTGCCGGTCGAACCCCTGCTCGCGATCATACCAACAAGACTGCTCTTCCTGCTTGTCGGCTTCCCTGGGGCACTCGAACCACCCTCGCCAACCCCGTTCAGAACGCCGTCTATCGGGTGTGCGAGGAAGCGGTAGAAGGGCGCCATCTTGTGCTCCGAAATGGCATCCTGGACCTGCTTGGCGGCCGCCTGTTGGGCTGTCTTGGGGGCGTCTGGGTTGGTGAGACAAAAAACATGCTGGGCCAGCGGCAGGAGAGGCCATTTCGCATATTGCGGATCGGAGCCCATCTTGTTGGCGTGGTCGTGTGGGGTGTGGGATGTGGGTGTGTTTATGAGGGGAAGTGGCCGAGGGGAGCAGCTCTCGGGTCGGTAGCCACCTTATTTGTTCGAGTTCAAAATGTCGCCGAGGTTAGCTAAATACACCCAGTGTCATTCGGTCGGCTGAGTCGATTCCGGGGTTGAGGCTGTCTTTGATATTATTGTGGTGCAGATGCAAGTTCCAAGGGAAGGCGGGAAGCTTGGGTCAGCTCTCCCAAGAGTCGTTGGCTCAGGCGAGATCCGCAAGGCTGCCAGAGCTCGCGTCACTGCCAATGCGGGCTGTAGTGACGGACTCTGATTCGTTACGGCAGCGCTGAGGCGGGGCCAGAGCCAGCACCAGCGAACACCCCTGCGAGCTGGAAGGCCCACACGTCCCGTCTCGCCTTCCAGTTCCATTCTTCAACTCCTGTTACAATCCTACAAAGCATAACAAACAAAAAGCCGAATTCTAATAATACTTTCCCCCGGTTCCAACTTTTTCCTTTCAAATATTTCCGAATTGCTCATTACAATTGACCAGCGCCATTCACATTTTCTCTCGGACTTGGCGAAAATAGAAGCAAAAAATATACAACCACGCCGGCGGCACCTTGACGACCGCCATGGCCGGCGATCACGACAACGATGACCTGCCGCAGCCTTTTGACGCGAAGAAATTAGCCCCTGCTAATAAGCGACAACGATCTATCTCACCAAGCGGAAGCGGGAACGCGAGCGCCGCGGGTGACCCCCCGCGCAAGCTCAAGCGGCCCGGCCAGCGCGCCCGCATCACCGACGCCGAGCGCGAGCAGATCCGGCAGCGGGCCCTCGAACGCGAACGACATGCCCAGCAACAGGCGGCGGCAGAGGAGGCGAGGCAACGGTCGGGCATCAACGACGTGGTGCGCGCGCACTACAACGCGGTCCCCGAGCGCGGTCGCGAGTGGCGCAAGACAGACAGCCGGATCAAGGGCCTAAGGTCGTTCAACAATTGGGTCAAGAGCTGTATCATTCAGAAATTCTCGCCTGATGAGGATCACGCGCCCGGTGCGATGGAGCAGGGGATCAGCTCTGGGAATAAGCTACTTGTGTTGGACATTGGGTGTGGCAAGGGTGGGGATCTGTTCAAGTGGCAGCAGGCGCCACAGACGGTGGATTTGTATGTTGGCCTGGACCCAGCGGAAGTATCAATTGATCAGGCACGGGAAAGATACCGGAGCATGTCCAACCGCGGGGGTGGGCGAGGCGGCAGGGGCGGCCATCGGCGCCCTGCCCGTATCTTTGACTCTCGCTTTCACGTCAAGGATTGCTACGCCGAGACGATTGGCGACATCGACATTGTGCGACAAGTCGGGTTCTCGGGTTCCAGCGTCAGCAGCAATCGTGGGTTTGACGTCGTCAGCATGATGTTTTGCATGCACTACGCCTTCGAGACCGAAGAGAAAGCCCGGCAAATGCTCAAGAACGTGTCTGGCGCCCTGCGCAAGGGCGGGCGCTTCATCGGAACCATCCCCAACTCGGATGTCATCACCAACAAAGTGGTTGCTTTCAACAAGCGCATGGAAGAGAAGAAAGCCAAGGCCGCTGCCGCTGCCTCAACCGAAAAACCGGCATCCGAACCAGCTCCGTCCAACACCACACCCGAACCCTCCTCACCAAAAGACGACGGCGAACTCGAAGAAGGCGAAGCAGAAGATGAAAAAGAGGAAGGCGAGGCCGAAGAGACAGCCTCATGGGGCAACGACATCTACCGGGTGCGCTTCCCGGGTCCGACCCCGTCCGACGGGATATTCCGCCCGCCCTTCGGGTGGAAGTACAATTTCTTCCTGCACGAGGCCGTCGAGGAGGTGCCCGAGTACGTGGTGCCGTGGGAGGCGTTCCGCGCATTGGCCGAGGATTACAATCTAGAGTTGCAGTACCACAAGCCGTTCGCCGAGGTGTGGGAAACGGAGAAGGACGACCGCGAGCTGGGCGCCCTGAGCGAGCGCATGGGCGTGCGGGACCGCTCGTCGGGTAAGCTGCTGGTTAGCGAGGAGGAGATGGAGGCGGCCGGGTTTTATGTGGCGTTCTGTTTCTATCGGGTATAATAACCCTTCGGAGGTTCATACTCTGACAAGTTTCCCATCTGGTTTTTCCGTAGGCCTTCGAGGAAAGAGCCGACTGAACTCGGCGCTTGATTTCGGGGCTCTATTCTTGGGAGATAAAAAGGTGCTCGATACGAAAACAGGCCGGAGTTCGAAGGGAGTTCCGCCTGTCACCGCGCATTACACGCGAAGGGGCTGTTTCCATGCCTTTCGATCGGCGAGGATCCTCCACAATTGAAATGATAAAAGCACCATACTTCTTCTCCGTTCCGGTGCTCGGATATGCTGGACAACCTGCTCCTCCATGAAATTTCCCCCAGCAACAGGTGAATGCCGAGCGGGATCAACGGGTATTACAAGTACGATTAGACACTAAAAACACTCCGCTTACTACAGGTTAAAGAGGAAAGAAAAGCCTGTGTGGGTATCATATTCCCCCTCCGACCTCCTAGATGGCCCGGGGAGGTCTGCGGGCCAGATATCTGCGAAAAGATATCAACCGAAAAACAACACCCCTCTTTAACAAAACCCGTCCACCCGACCAATCCAAAAAGTAAATAAATAAAGACTCCGCCGAATGCACCTCTCTTTCTCTCCTGTAACCTGTATGTAGCCTACCGAGCTTCACCTCCACGCCCCTATCCGACCTCTTTCTCTGCGGCCTTCCCACTCCTCAAGTCCACCACCTCGTTCGACGCCCTACACCCTACATAGAGCTCGTCGAGCGCCGCCAGATCATAAACACGGCCAGCGCTGCGCAGGACGTAGCTCCGAGCGCCATGTAAAGGCTGGTGTGATCCGGCGGTTCCTCTGACTTGGGGAAGGCGGTGCTGGGGTTAGTAGCGGCCTCGGCAAAGGCGACGAACAGCTCACTGATGCTGTGCCAGGTGACGCTGACGTGCAGCGGGGCGGACATGTTGAGCGCGGCGGTGTAGGCGTCGGGCTGCAGCTCGCTGCGCTGGGTGGTCTTGTCGCGGTCGGCCTTGAGCGCCGTGTAGATGGCGGGCAGCTCGTCGAGCTGCGGGTACCGCTTGCGCAGCTCCACCACGTGCGTGAAGGAGTCGGGCTCCGACGAGTCGTACGCGTAGCAGATCAGGTCGCACGCGTCGAGCTTGGCTTGGTTTTCGAGAATGGCAGGCTCCAGCTCGCCCAGTTCTTCGAGGATCAGGTAGCACTGCTTGCCGCCGTGCAGCTCGACGCTGTTGACGGCGCGGCGGGGTTTGATGGTTGGGTGGTAGAGCGAGTCGAAGGGGCGATTGAGGAAAGCGTCGAGGAGCGAGGACTTGCCGGACCCGGCGGAGCCGATGAGGTAGCAAAGGACGACGTTGCGCTCGACACGGCCCGGCCTCCGCCTCCGCTTTCGCGGCTTGGTTACCTTGAGGGCAGCGGTTGTCGAGTCCCACGAGTTGGGTCCCTCAAATCCGAGATAAGCAAGGTATTCGAGAGTAGTCTTGGGTTCCAGGAAGGTTGTCATGCTCCATTGCGCAAGCCATCCCTGCAGTGTGATGTGACCGGCCTCGTTCCGGACAGTGGATGAGGGGAATGATGTTTCCATCCAGGAGTGTGGTAGCCCAGGGGTGGGCGCAAACAGCGCCGCGAGTTCCTGGTCGTTGAGTCCGCCATCACTATCCTTGTCGAATGTCAAGAATAAATCCATAAAGAAGCGATACCCTGCTGGGCTGAGTTCTGCAGAGGCATAGTCTGGCACCTCGAACCGCGGACGGAGGAAGCCGTCCTCTAAGCTCAGGCTGTCTGTGTAATGGTGTTTCCTGAGGATAATCCATATCGTCTCGTGGCGCCCTTTTTCCGCGTACAGTTTGTTCAGCTGCAAAAATGCGTACAAGTCAAGACCGTTTTCGGTATTGGACGTCGGGGCCGCCTTATTAACGGCCGCCTTGATGTTGTGTAGTTCGGTGGGAGACAAGGGCTTGCCGAACGACTTGACCTGGAAATCGTGCATCTCCTGGTCGTTCAGATAACCGTCCTGGTCCTTGTCACACAGGTAGAAGACCCTTTTCAACGCAGCCATGCATGCGGGCTTCAACTGCCCTTCCTTGTGGTCATACAGCGGTGCAATCGGGTGGGTGACGGCCTTTTGGCACAGGTAGAAGACTTCGATGACGTTATGTTGGTCCTTGGCGCTCGTACGGATGCAAGAGTCGATTTCTCTAAACTCGGCCATGACCGGCAGCATCTCTTCCTCGACCACCTGAGGTGTGCTTCCTGACCCTGCGAGATCCGACTTGTTGGCGCACAACACGACTGGAACGTTGACCCCGAGCGAGCGGAAGTAGGGCATCCAGAACAGGGCCACGCGTTCGTAGCTGTAGTGGTCCGCGTAGACCAGCAGGATCACGTTGCATTTTCGAATCTCCTTGCGCAGAGTCGTTCGGTCTTGGGGGCGGGCGGATGTATCGACGATGGTGGTCACGACATTCTCGGGGGTGCCGGTGGTTGGGGGGATGGTGACCTGGGGCAGAACGGTTTGGATCTTGTTGGAGACGAAGGCGTCCTTTACGAGCGAGGCGATGAGGCTTGATTTGCCCGTCCCCTCATCGCCGCAGACGCAAATCCTAACAGCTGCGGCCGGTCAGCTAAATTTGGAGGTTGGGGGGAGAAACCGTGGGGTTCGTCATACCTGTAGTCATTGTGGGCATTCACAGTCTTCTCGTTGCTCCTGTTCTTCCTCAAGGTGATGCCATGGTTCTGGAAACCGAGATTGGGGAGAAGCTAGCAGTGCACAAGCGAATAAATCAAATTTGCGGGGGGCGAACAATCAAGGCGGTAAACGTGGGTTGGATCAAATCATAGCTCGCTTTGCGGGTTGACAGACTTCGATGATGAGTTCAGGTCGCCAGCTGGCGTCCTTTTTCGGATGTTAGCTCCTGAAGCCCCGCAACTTGACGCCCTCAAACAGCTCATGCTGCAGGTTGCATTGGGCTCATCCCCCACGCCCATACTCGGTACCGTGTGTATACGGTGTACTGAACGTGGTGGCCCCAACAAGCAACAACCTACCCCGAGATTGAACAATGCAATTGCTACGATACTGGATACCATTAGGCGAATGGCGGCAATGACGAAGTATTTTAAAACTGTTATTGGATGCATCACAGCTTGAACACCGACACTGGTCCGCCAACTAGGATAGCAGGCCCCCTCGAAAGTTGTATACAAATGGACTTCATCCAACGATTCAGACTGTGCTTACGATGCATGTCTGAGCATCCAATGCTTCGTGTGGTCTCCCAACAATGTTCAGCTTCCATGAGTAGGGGATTTCATCACACCGCCGGTGTTTGGGGGGCCATGAGAAGGTTGAGCGCCCCTAGCACCTAAATTATGTTCGTCTCTGGGAGTGGTTGTGGAAGCGCCCATAGGCGGTCTCCTGTTCATTTGACATGAGGCGAGCTCAGGCAAGTGAATGTCCCGCGAACGAACTCCCTACATACCCCACACCGTCCCCGCCGTACCGTCGATCCTGGACAGGCCAGCTCCCAGGATGCATTCCCCTGTCGCATGTCCCTTGGCTCCTAATCCGGACCATTCGATGTTACAACGCGCCGTCGAACGGCTCGTCGGTTGCTGCGGAGCGTATGGAACCGGCGATGTCTGCGACACCTATTCAACCTCAACCCGCACGACATACCTATATCTGTATACACTCATGTTACTCAACGACACCCTTCCCGAGTACAAAGTTCCTTGCTGTCTGACCGAATCATTCAACCGTCTTGGCGCTTTGTATAGCTCCCGACACCCCGCAGCCACCATGTTGTAAGAATTGAAATGGGATCAAAGAAAATGGCTGCAACTTCCTTGGGACGGTTTGCGCCATGGCCCGGCGGTGGCTGACGGTTTTGCTTTCTCGTAGTGTTCTTCCACCCCCGCCGAGGTACCCATCGGGCACAGGATACAATGGCCTCCCCGCGGGCACACCAATGCCGATGATCGAGACAAACAACGTCCTCAGTAACCCCTCGGGGCCCGAGTACCAGTTCCTAGTCGGCGAGGGTATGATTCCCCATAAATCACAGAACTGCATTGCTGGGCCGACCCTAACTCTACCAGGGTTATATGTGTTAAAGGATGATCTGCATCTTGCGACCCCTCCACCACACCCCTCCGAAGCCCCGTTGGTCAATCCGAATCCCCTCGCGACAGCCCCCCAGCCCGCGACCGCCGGCACCCGACTTACCCTATTAAACCTCGACGTCAACCCGCAGTCGCCTGCCGTCTACCGAACGAGTTCGCGATCCGATGGCGCACAGGGGAGCATACAGGAGAACCAGGACGAGAGTCAGTCGTCGACTGATGTGCGCGAGAGCAGCAGTGATGCCGGCCGTATCAGCTCTACCGAGGGCCATCAGCTGGCCAGAGCGAACACCAACACGCCGGCGTTTGGCGAGGGCAACACTCTCCTCGCGCCGGTAGCCCAGAAAGATCCAAGCAAGCGGCGCAAGCCCAAGAACAACATGACCAAGAGCAACTCGTCTTTCATCTCGAGAGTGATCAACCATGAGACGTTGCCCAAACGGCTGCAAGAACGGGCACGAGATGGCTTGTTTGCCTTTGCGAACATCAACCGCGCCTTCCAATGGCTGGACCTGTCTTCCCCGGCGAAGGTGAGGGGTCCGAGGGCCTGAATAGAGGCGCGCATGTTGACTGTTTCCAGGCCGAGTACTTGACCAAGATTCTATTCACCAGGGCTCACTGCCTATGCCATGACGTTAATAAGCTGACCAAGAGCCCGTCGCATATTGACGTGGTCATGGGTTTTTCCACCGGCGAGGTCATTTGGTGGGAGCCCATCACACAACGGTACACCAGGCTGAATAAGAATGTATGCGCTTCAATCCGCAAGCCCAACGCACGGCTAACGTTCATAGTCTGCCATCAACGGCACGCCCGTGTCGCAAATTGAGTGGATCCCGGGGTCCGAGAACCTCTTCCTCGCTGCCCACATGGACGGTACGTTAGTAGTATACGACAAGGAGAAGGAGGATAGTGTCTTCACCCAGGAGAGCGAGGGCAATCCCCGGTCCAGCGCCGAGACCAACGGTACTGGCAAGGTGTGCTACACGTCGCAAATCTATGTCCACAAGTCAGTCCATTCGAAAAACCAAAAGCTCAACCCGGTGTCGGTGTGGAAACTCTCCAACCATCGCATCAACGCCTTCGCCTTCTCCCCAGACAGCCAACACCTAGCCGTGGTATCCGAGGACGGCACCCTCAGGATCATAGATTACCTCAAAGAAGAGTCCGTACCCCCACTCCCCAACCTCACCCAACACCAACCAGCCAACTCACCAAACCAGACTCCTCGACCTCCACTACGCCTACTACGGCGGCCTCAGCTGCGTGTGCTGGTCGCCCGACGGCAAGTACGTGGTGACGGGCGGGCAGGACGACCTCATCTCCATCTGGTGCCCATCCGAGGCCCCCGCGCTCGTCGCCCGCTGCCAGGGCCACCACTCGTGGGTGACGTCGGTCGCCTTCGACCCCTGGCGCTGCGACGAGCGCAACTACCGCTTTGGCAGCGTGGGTGAGGACGGCAGGATCTGTCTGTGGGATTTTAGCGTCGGCATGCTGCATCGGCCGAGGGCGGTATGTGAACTTTTTCTCTCTCTCTCTCTCTCCTTGTTCGTGTGTGTTGGGTTTTGTGTGGCCGGTTGTTTGTGCTGACGGCGCGATTACACGACGAATAGGCTTCGGTCCGACAGCGGGGGTCCATCTCGTCGCGCCCGGGCGCCATCCCGCTGCTGCACCGCGCCGAGACGGCCGCGACGGCGGGGACGAGCGGCAGCGGGAGGTTGCGGTCCGACTCGAATCTCTCGTCGGCGGGCGTCGTGCTTGCGGATGGCGAGAAGGAGAAGGTGCTGCCGCATCCTGTTGCGCCGAGGGCTACCACGGCGACGTTGCCGCCGGTTTTGGTATGTTTGTTCTGGGTTTAGGGAAGTGTTTTTGGGTGGTGCTGATATTATGTGATCTGGGACAGAGCAAAACCGTCGATGATGATGTGCTGTGCTGGTTGGGATTTACGCCTGATGCGATTATCACAAGTTGCAAGACGGGTATGTATCTTGAGTGATCAGTGGGGGATGGGAGACTGAGCTAACGAGGTAATCTAGGGCATATTCGGACTTGGACGAGGCCGTCGGAGCTGGCGCAGCAGTTGGAGGAGAAGAAGGAGGATCTTTAATTCTTGGTATGAAGTCTGTGGCGGTCGTCGACATGCTGCATTGGGATTGGATAGGTGATTGGATGATTGCTAGGAGTAGGATATCTGCAGCGTCTTGGATTGGGAGAGGGATGACTGAGGCCGTGCAGCGTCGTCTACTTACCATACAGAATATATTCACAATCAGCGGACTTGGTCTTCATTTCCCCCTCCGTGGTGTAACGAGACTGTTGCGCTCTGGGGCTCGACAGCCGGGTCATGGTTGTCCCTGGGTACCGTCGCTCCGGCAGGCGGAGTGGGAACTACCAGGTAACGGGTCGGGCCCATAGCACAAGCCCTTTTCCGCATTCAGGTTCGGCGAGTAGACTTTCCACCTCACGGCTACTGTCGGTTGGGTTGATAGTGCTTCCTTGTTTTGCTCGTTACTTGGACCGCAAACTTCATCTATCCGAGACATGATTGTGATCAGCTGGAACCCATGTTGCCTCGAACCGCCGTATTCACTATAGACGAGATAGACGCATCACCGTCATGAACGGATGCTTGGATGAGACGATGCCCTCACTTCTCACATTTTTCTCCCACGCCGCGTACCACAAGGCGTGCAAGCCGGCGGCATAATGTGATCCATCATCATCACCACCAGCACCCCCGAGCCAGTCACGTCACGTCGTTCAATTGCCCACCAACACGGCAGGTCACAGTTGGTGGCGGGGGATGGGGTAGTGGCATGTTTCCTGAGTCATTGTTTTCACCAAAACACACCATGATGGCACGAACCGGCGTTGGGCGTTGTTGTTGGCTGGCGGGCATCAGGTATTTCAGGGTTGTCAGGTCTCAACTTCACCCACCCTTGCTCTCTTGGCTCGGCCGAACTGCTTGTCCTGCCGAGCCTGCATATGCAGCCCAGCAACAGGGATTCAGATTGCGTCGTCCGGCTGCCGAGCATGTGTGGTACGGTGCCTGCAGGGGCTTTGGGACGACCCCTCGGGTATTGAACACCCGAGGGCCGAGACCAAGTCGGTTGTGTGTGTGTCTGTTGACGTCGGGTGGCGACGGAGGTAGTTTGCACATGCGCTGAGGGGAAGGTCATGTTGCCGGTGTAACTATTTTGTTTGGTCTCCCTCGGCTCGGTTTTGCGGGAGAAAACCGAGTTGCTCGGTCGGATTCCGATAGGGCTGGAGGTGTGAGTGTCATGTTTGACGATTTTGTGGACCCAGGGTGATAAGTTTATCATGGTGGTTATGCGGCATATGGCATGGGTTGAGATGGTGTGCATGCACCTCCGAGTTCAACGGCACCCTGGTGGACCATGATATGCAAGGGATGCCGGACGCTTTCCGAAAGAGTCGGCGACACCACTTCACCGTTGACATTTTTGATGGTCCCCTGCCGTCCCATGAAGCGGGAGGAAGGGGCCGAAAAGAAAATGTGAGATTTTTTTAGGCGAATATGGCGCAATTCGCCAACGTGTTTCAAGGTTGACAACCAACTGGGTCCGATCCCAGCTGTGTCTTGCGGTGAGTCAAAGAGGGGTTTTTCTCTTGATATCGGGGCCCGTTCCAGGCCCTCGCGATGACGAGAGTGAGCGAGGTGAACGAACCAATGGCGGTGGTCGGGGCAGTATCCGATCGTCGGCGTGCGGGATCGGTGATGTGAGTGATACCATGATACAGATATCGGCGGGTTCCAAAACAGGTTCCTAAACCAATGGTTGCAGGACTCTGGGATTGTATAATCCCAGTTGAAGGGGGAACAGCGCGTAATTACCCTTGATGCTGTTGACGGCATCCAGAGTTGTATGATGTCTCTGTGACGGCAAGATGTGGCAAGCACCGGGAATTACCACTTGTTCAGCGGATCACTGGCGACGGGAAGGCGACGGGAACTCGGCATCTACCGGCGATCATCCTGATAAGCCTTGTGTCAGGTTCGGCGGGTATCCACCAAAGCAATGCAGTTTTGCTCGATTTTGCTGCTTTTTGGCTTTGAAGTTGGTGGATCACGGTCGCATTTGGGGGCTCGTTCGCAAAGTTCGTTCGGCAGTCCAGACCCCTGGACGCTGCCCGTGTCCGCTTTCCCGTGGATCGCTGATTGTCAAATTTCATGAAAAGATTTTTAACGTCCGATAGGGAACCAGGTGTTCCATACGGTCGTCCGAACCTGGGAGGGGCGTTTAAGTCCATCCGGATGAACAAAAACTGGTAATTGAGTGATAAGATCGGATGGGAAAGATTGAAGTGATGACTGATCGATCAGCCAAGTCGGGCGGCCTTCTAGACTTTTTAAGTGGGACCGGATGTGTTCCTGGACCCTGGCCTGAACCAAAACCCAACCCAAAACGAATCATAAAACTGCGCCCAAAATGAGCAATCAGTGTCAACGTCAGCGAGGTACCTGACTTCGATGTTCTTATGTATTACATAGAGGTGCTTTTCCGGACCCCCTTGCTCCGGATCTGCCAACTGTTCAGGTCACCGGATACTCATCAAAGCTGAAAAGTATCAGGAACGCGCTGCGCAATGTTGTTTGCTGTGCCCCTCCATGCTGCTGAGTCCGTTGGCCTCGAGTGTTTCCGTCAGCGGCCAAGCTGGTGAATTGCCCAATCGGAGCCCCCAACTGCACCACAGCCCTGCCTTTGCGACAAGCAGATCCAAAAATGAAACCCCACGCTGAATCGCTCGCCTGATACTTCGTACCCCACCGCCAAAGCTGCCTTGCTGGTGGGGCTGGCGGCTTTTTCTCATTTTTTTCTTATTTTTCTTCTTGCTTTGCTTTGCTGAACTTCGTTTCTGGCAGATGGCCCCCACTTTCCCGCCAAGTGACTTGTGTGAAGTGTGACTAACGACCCGGGCACGATGAGCAACCCAAGTATTGCGTATATTCGAGTGCTCGGTGTTGGCGAAGACAGCATTCCAAGCGCTAAGTTACAAGTTGGGGGCGTCGTGTAGCCTCCCGCCTCTCAGCCGCTTCGGTCGTCTCTTCTATGCGTTGCCTGGTACGCCTAGCACCGTGCCGCGGGGTTACCAAGTTCCTTGGGGACGCAGCAAAGTCGCTAGCACACTGCCCGCAGTACCGGAAGTACCGGGCGGTGAGCAGCTATTAATGTGGCCCATCTCGTAATGCCCAGAGCATCCTTGCTTATCCGATGGGTGACATGGGAAGGCAGGCATGGGCTGGGCCTTGCTTGCCGTGGGAACCCTGCACATGCCATGCCACGCCACCTTGACGGTTCCCGTCTCTTTGGATCATCAATTTTCTCTCTTCAGCCCGTGCATCCCGCAATCACGCACCCTCCTACCTTTTTTTACATATGAACCAAGTATCCCTTAGGTCCCCCCGTGGACCCCCCCTATCTCTTCCTACTCGTCGAATCATCGCCACCATCGTCACCACGACCCCCCACCTGCAACCTCGACCATGCGGTCCTTTAATCCCTTCACTGCGGTGACCGGGAGATATACCCTCTTCGAGATCCGGTAAGTCGTAAAGTTATTTGTACGGCTGGCTGCCAGCACGTAACTCCGTTCGCATGCTGACCATGCAAATGTGTCAACGACAGGCTCGAGAACGATTTTATTGTGTTTCGGGGCAACGATCATGAGGCCTCGGGCCAACTACTCAAAGGCACAGTCGTGCTTTGCCTGTCCTCGCCGCTCAGGCTTGAAGACATTCATTTAAAGCTAATAGGGACTGCTCACTATGCGTACGTTGCTGCGTTTGCTTGAACGAAGGTCTCTCGGAAAATGCTAATGTTTCTGCAGCTGGACCGAGGCGAAAGTAACAGCTCTGGGATATCTATCCACAAAGTCGACAAGACTGTGCCGTTTCTCGACCATCGATGGGCTCTGTTCGAAGGGATAGGTGC